TAGTTCATTGATTCCTAAGATATCAATGTTCAGTCTTGCCATCTCATTTTTGACCACGTCAAGCTTACGTTAATTCATAGATCTTACATTCCAGGTTCCTATGCAGTATTGTTCTTTGCAGCATCGGACTTTCCTTTCACCATCAGACACATCCACAACTGAGCGTCCTTTCGGCTTTGGCCCAGCCGCTTCACTCTTTCTGGGGTTACTTGTACTTGCCCTCTGCTCTTCCTCAGTAGCATATTGGAGATAATGAAACTGAAGCTCAAATACTTTGGCGACCAAAATGAGAAGGGAGCACTCACTGGAGAAGGCCCTGATGCTGGAAAAGATTGAAGGTCAAAGAAGACGTGGACGGCCAAGGATGAGATGGTTAGACGGTGTCATAGATGCAACGAACATGAAACTGAGCAAACTTCAGAGGACGGCGGAAGACAGGAAGGCCTGGCGTGATCTTGTCCATGGGGTCGCGAAGAGTCGGACTCGACTGTGCGACTGAACAACAGCAACATCCAGAGGAGTCCCCACGCAGCCCTTTTTGGAAAAAGCCAATGAAACAAGCATGTCTTGATGTCAACGTATCTATATCCTTGTAGGAAGAGCTAACAGTACTACAAATACCCACGTTGCATGGGGGACACGGGTCCTCAATTATGTATGGAAGGCCCCTGATGGATGGAATGGTGGTCTTCTCCGACTGTATTTCGAAGTGAATGCAGAAAGTCAACAGAATCAGAAGGATTGCCACAGAAAAGAAGTTACGTACATCTCAGGGACCTCTCTGAGGCTCTAATTAAGCCATGAGGGGAAATAATTATTTCCAGGTTGCCTGGGGCTTCAGGCGTAGGTGTGGGGAAACTATTTACTCCACACTGTTTACCAGCATTCTTGCAGTCATCTCACAAACTGTGCTGGGGTCAAGGTAGTCTATAAGAACCTTCTGATAGAACAGTGCTGTCTGTTGAGGCTGTGATCTCCAGATCCCATCGTATCCGTCGACAAAGGCTACCATGTCAGACGGAGAAGACGATCCCCAGGGCCGATCAGCCAGAACAACCAATGGTGCCTTGCGCCCGGCAACTGCTGACTCACCGAGTGGGTTATCCACTAGATTTTATGGTGACAGTCAGGGGTCATTTCGTAGAAAAAGAGGTGCCGGAGCTCATTAGCATAACTCATCGGCATAACTTAGTTGCATATGCCACACCCCCGGACATCACCAGAAGTGTGTCAGGAGGCAATACCCACCGCTCAGGCTCCACTGGACTCTTTTGGATGGCTAGCTATTGGGGAGGAGGGAGAGCTTGTCCCTGAAGGTGGGCCGGGGGGGGGGGCTCTGCAGCTTACCTGGCTGCTTCTTGCTCCTTGTGGCCCGACTGAGGGCTGCTGGGAGCAGGGGGTGGGGCTTGTTGCATGTGCCCGCCCCCTGGGCTCCTTACTGTCGGAGCTCCGCTCCCGTGCGCTCTCACAGGAAATGACCCCTGGTGACAGTATTGAAAACCTGCCCAATTTGAACAACGGTCATCCAGCTCAGAAATGGTGGTAGGCAAAGGGTCAAAAACTGGTTCAAACACTATTCACTTATGCAGCCTCTGGAACTCATACTTTTACCAATCATTTAACTACCCTTTTTCTGTTTAAGTGCTCAGATAGTTGCCAGATTCCTCACTTAGGAAAGTAACTATCATATTATGTAATAGTAGCTAACCAGGTAAGATTTAAAAAACCATTCACGAAATAGAAATAACACTGTGTGTGTGTGTGTTTATGCATGGGCAATTTAAAAAAAAGGCAAATAGGAAAGAATTTCAGAACACTAAAACGTACAATAGGCCTCCAGCCTATCAAGTCGAAAGCTAAGCGTAGCTCTCTATCTGTAAAGTTTTGCACACTTACTGTGTCTTCCTCTGGGGTTCTTGAGATTGAATCTTTCCAGAAGAGGAATCTCCAAAAAGCATCCAGAGGAGGAGTATCAAGGAGAAAAGGGGAAATACAATCGTGCTGAAAAGACGAGAATGAAATCAGAAAGAAGCCAGAGCAGTAACACGGTGCAAGCAGTGAGAAAGGAATGAAGGAAGGGGAAGAGAACTTGAAGGAAGAAAGGTCTATGACCTTCAAGAGAAGGAAGTCTGCACAATTATGCATTCTGCTCTGATCTTCTTTGTCCTCTTTTTCGATGATCCAGAGGCATTCCCTCCCGTCGTTCAGAGAAATGACAAAATGTTCCTGGTTCATCCAGTTATCACAATTTATTATCCAGTTATTTTCTTGACTCGTATCTTCCAAGAAAGCTCCCTTCCTTGTCAATCTCATTCTCATCAAAGGATCTCTTTTAATTGCCTGTCCCGTCTTCGTCACCACCCAGATGGGTATGCAAGGCTGCTTTGATTCATTATACAGTCAACTTTCTGCTGCTCTTCATGATCTTTATGCCGGCAGATGAGGAGAATGTGCCACTTCGGTCCTCTCATCAGCCAAGCTACTGGATTACTCCCCTAAAGTGGCCTGCGCCACACTTCCTGGTTCCTGAGATCATGTGATTCGGCTGCTTCCATTTGCATATGATTCTTTTTTTTTTTTAATATATATTTTTATTGGGTTTTTTAAACACAAATATACCAACCACCAAAACCACCACACATCTAACTCATTATACATAATTTCTTCCAGACAGCATCCTATTCACCTAACAAGTACATTTCTTTACTTTCAGCATCCAATAATTACATTATTTATGGTACTCTTTCCTTCTTTTCTCGGGACAGACCTCTAACTCTTAATCGTTATTTCCAATTTTCTAATAATCATTATAAATCTATCTTGCTTAATTTACTCCATTCTTTTAACGCCATCCTACATGATTAACAAACTATCAGTGCCTTTTTGTAAATATATTCATATATATTTTTTCGTATATATTCCTTACCATATTTCATACCTTCCAAATCATTTCTTAAACAATCCTCCCAGGCATATTCAAGCATGCTCTATTTCATTTTATCAATCAAAGTATAATATATAGTTTATAAAAAAAATATAAACACTTGTAGATAAATTAAAACATTTTCTATCACGGGTCTAGTTGCTTTCATTTTTCCAATCACAAAATATTTCCACAAAAATTAATTCATTCAGAAGATCAGCATAAAAAAACAAACAAACAAACAAAACAGAATCTTGACTGGTATATATAAATTACTTCATTTAAATATCTGTCAATCATTCTTATCATTTAATTCCAGATGTCTCTAGATCTTAACATTTAAAAGTTAATTTTCCCCTGGTACAGTACACATGTCCTACGTTCAATATTTATATTCCTAATCTTCATAAGTATCAATATCCCATATATATGTCTAAGCATCCATATCCCATGTTCTCAATCTCCATAAACATCAATGTATTATACCATTTATTTTGTATTGCCTTCTATATATCAGTAATGTCTCTAGCCACTGTAACTTATCCACATGTTCTCTCCCTTTACACCAGTGGTAATTTTTTTCCGATCTCCCTTCTATGTTTTTTAACGTCTCTTGATTTCCTGTCTTCCTGATCTTTTGCCTCTTACATAAAGTTCTCTTCTTTTTCCGCTTTCTTTTCACTTTACTCCTTTTCCTTTCTCCTTTCGTCTTTCCTTTTCTCGAGTCATTTCCATTATTTAAATCCTCGTCTCGTTTTCGCTCCGCTGTGTCTGATAATTCCATCTTTTCAGTTCCCATCTCAAACTCCATTATCTGTTCCTTGTTCTCCTGTTTCAGGCTATTTTCTTCCGCAGTTTCAGTGTGCTCCAGAGGCATAGAGGGTCCATACCAATTTGCATATGTCGTTTTAAATCCCTCTTTAATGCCTTCCTGAATTCCTTCTACCATCGCCTTTAGAAACTGTTCAAACATTTCTCCAATCAGTTCCATTTGTCCCTCATCCATCTTTTCTACCCTCTATTTATATTTCACAGTTCCAGTCTCAAGGGTCTCATCCCGGAAAATTCCTTTCCCCTCAGAAAACCAATACAAGAATATGTTAATACTTAGCTGAACGTTTTCTGGCCGCTTTTTTTTACGATTAAGCCAGTCCAATCTGGGGATCCTCTCCACACAAAGACACTTGTTGCTGAATTTTTCTTCGTTGCTGCTGGTTATAATCCACATTTATAAGTTAAAAACGAGCGGATGGTCGTTTCTCGCGAACATGGCCGCCATGCTCTCTGTTACTCGCCTCAGCTTCGGAGCTTTTCCGGGCACCTCCCCCGCCCTGCCAGTTGCGGGAAAGGGCCGAAAGAACGCCCCCTGCTCCAGCCCCCACCATCAGGAGGCTGGTCGAGCTCCCCCGAATCTCGGGGGGCTCAAATAAAGCAAAAACAGATCGGTCGGGGACGGAGCGCATCTCGCTCCCCCCCGACCGTCGAAACGCCGTACCGGAAGTCCCCCATTTGCATATGATTCTTCTTCTCCATCATAACTGGTCCCGTAAGAGACCAGACACAAAAATCTTCAGGATAGTTAGGCTGGACTTCCTGGGTTTCAGAGACCAGGTCCGGTGGCAAGAGTAACTTTTACAAACAGGATCCAAACCAGTACAAGTCCAAAATAATTATATCAGCAAGCCTTTTGAAGGCCAGAAGGCTCAGTATCCTGTTTCTTCAAGGATACTATTTTACATTTGTGGAGAAACTGCAGTAGACACCTGCTCTCTAACCGAGGCTGATCTTCCTGTTTCTAAAGCACCAGAGACTAATGTGATTTAGTGTAATTTCTATTGTAACTTTACAAGTGGTCTGGAGCCTTTGCCATATAAGGAAAAGGTTTTCCTTCCCCCATGGAAACAAAAATAAAATGAGAACAATGATGATATCCCCTTTAAGGGTGTTTCCCCTGGCAGACTACGGCTCTGAAGCACTTGAAAGCAAAGAAATCTTCAGCATTCTGGGACCACAAAATTATTTTAATGCATGGATGTTCAGGAGATAACCTCTCTCTCTCTCTCTTTTCTCGCAACAGGTGGAGTATGTGATTAAATGTGACATGTCTGCGTTGCAGAGGGTACTCTATAGGCACATGCAGGCCAAGGGAGTTCTGCTTACGGATGGATCGGAGAAAGATAAAAAGGTTTGGACATTAGACTTCCTACTTGCATGCAATGGGGGTGGGTTCGGGTCTCTTCCTGTTGGGTCCTGAGGGTTTTTTTTAGTTTGTTGTCGAAGGCTTTCACGGCCGGAGTTCATTAGTTGTTGTAGATATTCCGGGCTGTATGGCCGTGGTCTTGGCATTGTAGGACCTGACGTTTCGCCAGCAGCTGTGACTGGCATCCTCAGAGGTAAAACACAGAAAGATGGAGTACTCTCTGTGTCAGTGTGGGAAGAAAAATGGTAGGCAGGTAATTTATATCTACTCAGGAAGGTGAGGTAGGGCTGAATCATTATCTTGTAGGCGTTCCCCAGGCTGTGACACGCTAATGGAGGAGCTTTCCTGAGGGAGGTTCTTTTGCATGTGGATGGGCTGTTGAAATTCTAATCTTATCTGTAGTGCTGTTTTTCAGGACAGGAAACTATGCCCTGTTTATTTTTTAAACTCTTTTCTTTCCTGTTGAAATTGTGTTTATGTTTATGAATTTCAATGGCTTCCCTGTGTAATCTAACATGGTAATTGGATGTGTCGTCCAGCATTTTTAGTCTTCCATGAAAACACTACTGCCAGTGCTTACAGCATTTGTGTGTGGGGGGAATAAGCTAGCATTTTATTTATTTATTTATTTATTTATTTATTCGATTTGCTATCCCGCCCTAACCCCTAAGGGTCTCTGGGCGGCTTACAGAGAGTGCTAATCACATTTACAGAATCTAACCTAGGGCCACAGACATACAGGGGTGGTGACTACCCTACCAGGCACCCTTTTTGCGGCGGATCTTCGGTTGTTATCTTGTTCTTGCGGGCGATAGTCAGCGGCTTCCTTTCTGGTGCTGGTCTTTGGAGTTCCCTTCTTCTGGCTGTAGCGATTCCATTTCCGGGCCAGGACCACTCGCACTTCCGCGCATGCTACGCTGCGGCCTCTGTCCCGATGAGGCTCCGGCCTGCTGCGTTGCTCCGCCTCCGCGCCAGTTGGTCCGTCCTCCTTCGCTCGCTCGCTCCTTGCCTTGCCAGCCACCATTTTCTCCGTCGCCACTGCTTCGCTTCGCCGCTTGCCACTCACCGCTGCAACACAGGGACGGGTGCCCCCCCGCTCTAGTAGCAGGTACCCATCTAATCGCCCTTTAACGGGCTTTCGCGTCACTGGGTGGGCTGCTATTTTAATGACAGAAGAGCTGGATTCGAGTCCAGTAGAACTTTGGAGACCAACAAGATTTTCGGGGCATGAGTTTTTTGAGTCAAAGCTCCCTTCGTCAGGTAAAAGTCAGAATGGAGGTCCCTGAGTCCTCGGATCGCAGTCAGAAGGTGGGAGAGGTATTGCTCAGGATGCAAAGGAGCATTGTACCTCCTGTGGCCTGACCAGCATGGCTAGCCTCCTGAAACAGGGTTAGGGCAATCCTGCATCTTTTGCAGTAGCCTCATGTGGAGCAGACAGACTCATGCAGGAGAGGGCAACTCGAATGCTAAAAGGGTTGGAACACTTTCCCTATGAGGAAAGGTTAAAGGGTTTGGGGCTCTTTAGCTTGGAGAAACAACGATTGAGGGGTGACATGATCAAGGTTTATAAGATTATGCATGGGATAGAGCAGGTGGAGAAAGAAGTACTTTTCTCCCTTTCTCACCATACAAGAACTCGCGGGCACTCCATGAAATTGCTGAGCAGTTGGGTCAGAACGGATAAAAGGAAATCTTTCTTCACCCAAAGAGTGATTAACACGTGGAATTCACTGCCACAGGAGGGGGTGGTGGCTACAAGCATGGACGGCTTCAAGAGGGAATTGGATAAGCAGATGGAGCAGAGGTCCATCAGTGGCTATTAGCCACAAGGTATAGCTAGGAACTCTCGGTCTGGGGCAAGGGATGCTCTGTATTCTTGGTGCTTGTGGGGGGGGGGGTGCCACAGTGGGAGGGCTTCTAGTGTCCTGGCCCCACTGCTGGACCTCCTGATGGCACCTGGTATTTTTGGCCACTGTGTGACAGAGAGTTGGACTGGATGGGCCATTGGCCTGATCCAGCATTGGCTTCTCTTGTGTTCTTATAAGAGGGAACTGGATAAGTATATGGAGCAGAGGTCCATCAGTGACTCTTAGCCACAAGGGATAGATAGGAACTCTCAGTCTGGGACAAGTGATGCTCTGTATTCTTGGTGCTGGGGGGGGGGGCACAGTGGGAGGGCTTCTAGTGTCCTGGCCCCACTGGTGGACCTCCCGATGGAACCTGGTATTTCTGGCCCCTGTGTGACAGATTGCTGGACTGGATGGACCATTGGCCTGATCCAACATTGACTTCTCTGATGTTCTTATGTCTGGGACAAGTGATGCTCTGTATTCTTGGTGCCTGGAGGGGCAACAGTGGGAGGGCTTCTAGTGTCCTGGCCCCACCGCTGGACCTCCTGAGGATCACCTGGTATTTTTGGCCACTGAGTGACACAGAGTGTTGGACTGGATGGGCCATTGGCCTGATCCAGCATTGGCTTCTCTGATGTTCTTATGCCTTACCATTGCTCTCCTCCAGAGGAAGGCAGACTTTACGCTTTGGGGACCTTTCAGGTTTCTGGGGAAATGCAGGTTAGGAGGAGGATGAGCACTGCTGTGTATTGCTTGACTTCCTTGTAAAGGAAGTTCCCTTTACGGCACGGCTTGGTCGCCAGCCCTCAATACGGCGGTTGCTTTCTGAAACGACGATGTAACCTTTCATAAACAATTTCCCCCTTTCAACGTTTTGAGCACAATGCTAAATCAACAGCCGTTTTGTCCGGGGAGAAGTTTGTGAGTGACGCTGTCCTGTCCTTGCAGGGTAAAGGCGGTACGAAAACACTTATGAACACTATCATGCAGCTGAGGAAGATCTGCAACCATCCTTACATGTTTCAGCACATAGAGGTAATGAAGCCTTTTCCAGCCTTCGTGGTACAGTTCTTGAAGAAGGGCTGCTTGAGAGAGGCGATGATGGGCCAGAAGGATATGTGCAGGGGCTAATGTTTTACCAGATACTTCAAGCACGGGGCAGCTCGTGGGTGGTTGTTCAATACCCGCTTCTTACTCGTCAGCCGACTGAGGACATCCCGCATAGCTGCTGTCGTTCTCCCCGTCTTCAGATTTCTGCCATTCAAACCCGTGGCGTTTATTGCAGGGGTCCCCAACTTGGTGCCCGCCGACACCTTTCCTGGCCCCCACCGAGTGTTTCTAGAAAGTGGGTGGGGCCTGGTGGAACTTTTGCCCTGCAAGGCTTCCAATTGGCCATTGGAAATTTGATTGGCTGTGCAGATTTCTAAAAACATTGCTTCAGCAACAGCTGTCACCACAGCACAAAGATCTTCACCGAGTGATTGAAGCTAAGCTGCAGCAGCTGTTTTGTGGCTGGCTTCGCCTTCTGTGGCGGCGTCAGCATTCCAAAAGTCCCTGCAGGTTCAAAAAAGTTGGGGACCCCTGGTTTATTGGACACATCATCCTGTTGATTGTATTGATTTAAAGGGTTTGGTGTAGTGGTTTGGTGTAGTGGTTTAAGTGCGCAGACTCTAATCTGGGAGAACCGGGTTTGATTCCCCAATCCTCCACTTGCAGCTGCTGGATGACCTTGGGCAAGCCATAGTTCTCTCAGAGCTGTCCTTGAAAAAGAGCAGTTTCTGTCAGAACTCTCTCAGCCCCACCTACCTCACAGGGCATCTGTTGTGGGGAGGGGAAGGGAAAGGAGATTGTAAACCGCTCTGGGACTCCTTTAGGTAGTGACGTGCAGGGTATAAATCCAATCTCCTCTTCTTCTTTCAGAGCTGTTCTCTCAAGGGCAGTTCTTGGGAGAGCTCTCTCAGCCCCTCCTACCTCACAGGGTATCTGTTGTGGGGAGGGGAAGGGGAAGGAGATTGTAAGCCGCTCTGGGACTCCTTTGGATAGTGAAGGGCAGGGTATAAATCCAATATCCTCTTCTTCTTCTTCTATTATTTGCCTTGTCTCAGCAAGAAAGGCAAACTATAAATAACATAAGTAAATATGGAGAATTTGCAGAAAAAATTAAAAGCTTTTTAAAAATTGGTAGATTACCTCCCCCCCAAAAAGAATTTCATAAGAGAAGAAGAAGAAGAAGAGATTGGATTTATATCCCGCTCTTCACTACCCAAAGATGTGTCAGAGCGGCTCACAAACTCCTTCTCCCTTCCCCTCCCCACAACAGACACCCTGTGAGGTAGGCGGTGCTGAGAGAACTCTGATGGAAACTGCTCTTTTTTTCACGGACAGCTCTTATCAGAATTACGGCTTGCCCAAGGTCATCCAGCCAGGTGCAAGTGGAGGAGTGGGGAATCAAACCTGGTTCTCCCAGATTAGAGTCCGCGCACTTAACCACGACACCAAACTGAGCAGCTCAAATATCTTGTTTTGGACATTTGTTCTGGAACCACCCTTCCTGAGCTAAGGCAAAAATGTGTGAGCCGGAAGCTGAAAAACTGTTAGCTAGCTCACGCTAACTCAGCTTAGAGAGAACACTACTCTGGAGCCATCCTTCCTGAGCCAAGATCAAAATGTGTGAGCCAGAGGCTGAAAAACTGTCAGCTCGCTCAGTCTCACTCAGCTCATAGGGGACACTGGTCCCAGGCTTCCTCCGCTCTCAGTCCTTTAGTAATTGATTTCCCTCTCTCCCAGTCGGAGAACCCAAAGATTAACCAGGTATGTACGAACATAGTGCACTGTCTGTCTGTAGCGCAGTATTAAGACAGGGAGTTCAGTGGATGTTGGAATTTTGCAGACTTACAATTCATAAAAGTTCAAAAGTTTGCACCCGTGAAATCGACTGAGCCTTTCCCCCCCTTTTATTCATCTGCAAATACTCATCTCTTGCAAAACGGGGAAGCTGGAGTGTAACGTTATGTAAAGGTAAAGGTTTCCCTTGCTCGAAATCCAGTCGAATCCGACTCTAAGGTTGCGGTGCTCATCTCCGTTTCAAAGCCGAAGATCTAGCGCTGTCCGAAGACGTTTCCATGGTCATGTGGTTGGCATGACTAGACGCCGAGGCGCACAGAATGCTGTTACCTTCCCACCTAAACGGTACCTGTTTACCTACTTGCAGTGTCTTCCTTTCGAACTGCTAGGTTGGCAGGAGCTGGGGCCAGAGACAGGAGCTCACTCCATCACACGGCACTCGGGTCTCGAACTGCCGAACTACAGACCTTCCGGTCTGCAGCTCAGTGTCTTAACCTCTGAGCCACCGCGGCTCAGAGTTTAACGTTACCATATCCTTAACTGTGAAGGGGCAGATTGGCAGTTGCGTTGATCGCCGAGCTGTGGGTGGCACCGTTCCTCCCTTCCAGATGTCCACCGCTATCTAACATCGCCCCTCCTCTGCAGCTGTGCCCTGCCTCCTCATGCCCGCGTTCTCACCTTTCCTTGCAGGAATCCTTTTCCGAGCACTTGGGCTTCACAGGAGGGATCGTACAAGGGTAAGTGAGTGCCCCAACGCCTTTCCAAGCCTGGACGGCTTTCTCAGGGAATACCCCGTAGTCTGGATCCGTAAACGAGTAATCTCCGAGAACCGGGCGTTGGCGACCAGAGCGCTGTGCCCGTCGTGGCCCGTCTTGTGAGGCTCTAGCGCTGGAAACACAATGTGGCCAACGATCCATAGCGGCAGACGAGCTTCCCTGAGAAAGGGTTTCCCCAGTCTGGGTGGCCTCCCTCTGCCACGCACGATCTGTCCTCGGGTGCGCTCTCAGACGCAGAAGCCACTGGAGCTGGCTGCAGGGCAGAGACCATGTGCCAGAAGGTTCCCATGTGCAGTGTAGACATGGAAGCGTTACTCCGCAGGTCAGGCGGCAGGCGGGCCTGTCTGAATGCAGAGGGTTTCCAACCAGCATTGCCGGGGGAATGCATTCCCTTCTGTTTCTCCTCTCTGTCCGCCAACCAGGCTTGACCTGTATCGTGCTTCTGGCAAGTTTGAGCTCCTGGACCGGATCTTGCCCAAGCTGCGAGCCACCAACCACAAGGTGCTGCTGTTCTGTCAGATGACCTCCCTCATGACCATCATGGAAGACTATTTTGCTTACCGTGGCTTCAAATACCTCAGGCTCGATGGTGAGTTTTGCGCCGAAGCCGGCAGTGTCGCCCTTCTGGAGGGGGGGGCCTTCTCCACATCTGGGGGTGGTCTCTGTATAGTCGAGCTGAGTATGGAACCGTAGGAGGAGGCGAGAGACAGAGCCCAAGTTCATGGTGACTGGATAGGTTTAACTGGTGTTCCTGGGGAGCGAAACTCACCGGAAGCAGCAGGGTGGCTTCCCTTTCCTTCCCCAGCCTCCCACGGGGGTGGGGGCGGAGCACACCGGGGGTGGGGTCTGGCACCCTCCAGGGTGGGGCAGGGCTCGTCCGTGGTGGGGCTCTGCCCCCAAATGCCCCACCGTGGCTACGAGCCTGACTCCTTTCCCTGACCTGGGTAGCCCAGGCTAGCCCAGTCTTGTCAGATCTCTGAAGCTAAGCAAAGGTCAGCCCTGGCTAGTATTTGGAAGGGATGCGATGCAGAGACAGGCAACGACAAACCACTTCTGAGCATCTCTTGCCTTGGAAGCCTGCAGGGTTTGCCATAAGTCAGCTATGACTGGATGGCAGCAGCAGCAACTGTACTTACTTGCATTTCATGGCCGTTTGGTTTGGCTGGTTGCACCTTTTTCCCCCTTTATGGACCCATGAAAAAGTATGCTAAGCCAAAAAAACGATAGTCTTTCAGGTGCCACTGGATCCCTTTGCAAATAGGCTAGGCTTCTTATTGGTCCCCCTCTCCATTGTGTGGATTTCCTTCTTTCCCTGCTTTAGTTCCCAGCGTGCTGAAAGGGTCCAGTCTGATTCCACCTTGTGGCCCCAACAGATTTATATTGCTGCTACCAATTTTATTGTTTTTATTATTTTAATGTGATTTTATTGTAACAAGGCTTTGACTCCATTTGTTGTGAGCCACCCTGAGCCCGTTTGGAATAAAACATCCCTAAATAAATAAAAACCTAGCACAAGGGTTTCTCCTTGCTGGTGGCAAGCTCTTGAAATTCTAAGTGCCTTTGGGGCTGCATCTGTGTAGAAATACCATTGATTCTACCGGTAGCCTGTGATTCTGAAATATCGTCTTGAAAATTTTTCATGGCCAGTTTGGTGTAGTGGTTAAGTGCGTGGACTCTAATCTGGGGGAACCGGGTTTGATTCCCCACTCCTCCTCTTGCACCTGGCTGGATGACCTTGGGCAAGCCATAACTCTGGCACAGCTGTTCTTGAAAAAGAGCAGTTTCTGTCAAGAGTTCTCTCAGCCCCGCCTACCTCACAGGGTGTCTGTTGTGGGGAGGGGAAGGGAAAGGAGTTTGTAAGCTGCTCTGAGACACCTTTGGGTAGTGAAGGGCGGGGTAGAAATCCAATCTCTTCTTCTTCTTCTTTTCTCCAAGGCTAGATTGTTTTGAAACAAGACCGAGGAACGACATTTATTGACGTTTTCACATGTTTTCTTTAATGCCGCTGATGGAAGGATTTGCTTTATTCATCAGTGACCTAAAACAAAATGGGGGGGGGGGGGGTCCAGTGGCACCTTAAAAACTAACAAAATTATTCCACCATCAGTTTTCATGAGTCAGAGCTCACTGCTTCAAATGCACAGGGATTGTAAATCCCTCCAGTCAGGTTTACACGCACAAGAAGAAGGGAGAGAGGGTGTTGGAAAGGGAGAGGGATTCAAAGTAAGATCTAATCCAAATAGTAGTCACTTAACTCAGAATGAGTGCTCGATTGTCAGAATGTAAGGTCTTGTGAAATTAGAGAGTCCGTGTGGCGTAGTGATCAGAGTCTTGGACTAGGCTCTGGGAGACAGTTGAGGGAGTTTATTTATTTATTTATTATTTATTCATCCCATCCGTGCCCCGCCCTCCCCGCAAAGCAGGCTCAGGGCGGCTCACAGTCGATGCAGAGATAACAATTAAAACAACATGAAATCATCTAAGAACAATCCAAGTTGTAACTAATACAAATTCATAAAGTGTTGGTGCTGGTTAATTAGTTGTTTGAGATGGCTTACTTTAAGAGTGTGCACACAACGATCTATCAGTCATTCTGGCTCATGATCTTCCTCCGGCACAGGCTAGGTGTCAAAACCAAGGGCCAGGGCTCTATAGTGGCGGCGGCGGCTCCCTAGCTGAAAGCCTGGTGGAAGAGCTCCGTCTCGCAGGCCCTGCGGAACTGTAAAAGGTCCCGCAGGGCCCTGATCTCCTCTGGGAGTGCGTTCCACCAGTATGGGGCCACCACTGAGAAAGCCCTGGCCCTGGCGGTAGCATCCTTGGGACATGGGAGGGGCAACCGATTTTGAGACCCCGGCCGTAGTGCTCTCTGGCACTTTTCCTAGGACTCCCACCCCCACCCGGCACAATAAGGGGAAGGGGGTTTGAAACTGGCAGGGACCCCGTAGTTTGAGAGGGAGGGGAAAAACCCTGTTCCAAACGTAAAACCATTTATTGAAAGAAAACCACACCGCACAACTTTTCAAGCAAGTAGCAATTCCAGTCTTCATCTTACAGAAGGGAACAGACCAACCAATACTTATAAACAACTAGTGCGCTTATTATTCATTTTGGAATTATTTATTTGGGAATGCATTCCGGCTGCATTCCGGCCTGCCCTGCTTAGCTGACAAGATCTGACGAGATCAGGCTAGCCTGGGCCAATTAGCATCCATAGTGAGTGAGAAATGAGCGGTTCCTTTTAAGACAGACCTGGCTGAGAGAGTAACTTTGTCATGAATATTAATTTCACAGTTTCTCCCGGTGTTCTCCCTTCGAAGTTCTTCTGTAGGGAGGACCGGGGCCTCGAGAAGAGTAATAGATTGCCCTGGAAGATTAAAACGTTCACCCACTGGCTCACAAGTATCGTAATTTTTCATCAGAAACCAGTGGGTGAATTAGAATATTTTGTTGGAATAATACTGGTAAAAATCAGCGTAAGACAGTATGCTGTGCCATGTACTTCTCTTACATTGTTTAAACTTTGAAAAACCTGAAGGCACTGAAAATTGTCGCCATCCACATTCTGGCGCACTCAAAGAACTGTTAATGACATGCTGTGGCGTGGTTGTCCCATTCAAACAGAACTTGAGCTCTCCAGCTGATTCAGTATCTGATTGGCCCTTTTGATCTCCCTTCCACCACGTAGAGGAGACATATAAATTAGAATCTGAACGTCGGTTTTGATTTGGCCAGCAAACAGGGGGGATTCATAACTTCTGTTTGGATCTGAGGTTTTATTCACACACACACATACACACACCATTTACTAGTGAATTACAAATAGGCACATGGCTTATCAGATGATTCCTGGAAAATATTAATTATAACATTGAAACTGCCAAGCTTGCCTGTTGCTGTATCGGTTGCGGTGTCCATTCCTGCATTGCTTATGCAAATCACGAGTCTTTATAAAAGGAAGATTTCCCATGGGGAAATATGGCAGCAGAAAACCCCCCCCCCCCCAATCTCTGAGGACCACTATTAAAACAACAGCCTCCCCCCATGTGTTGACTGAAATGGTATCATCCTCTTAAGAACTTGTAGTATGAATGGAAATATAAAGATTTTTTTTATATAGGCTTTTTTCTTCTTGATTGTTTATATTCATTTTTTTTTTTGGTTTTATGGATTTTTCTTGTAAAATATATAGAAGGCTTTCCTCTTGTAGGTCTGATATTGCTAACAGACAAGATAATAGGTATAAAGTTCATGATTCTGTAGTTCTTAAGGACAAAACCTTGCAATGTCTGGGTCAGATAAGATTTTGGTCTCATATCAGAGAGAAAAACACTTTTGTTTAGGATATGAGGAATCCTTGCCCATTATCATTTTAAGTTAGGTTAAATAAACACTTAGAATATAAATTAAAAAAATAAACACTTAGGTTTTACATAGGTACATCTCTCTTTATATCTGGCCAATCAGAAGATAATTATTCAAGTTACCATTGTCTTTTATAACCAGTTATGTTTTTTGAATATTGTTTTCTTGATGATGTCAGTCCGTGTATAAAAGATTATGTATTTCCTGAATGTAGAAAGAAGAAAGCATATTTCCTGAATATGCTGAGAAAAAAAGTCAAATTTTTATGAGTTATTTGGTCCAGTTGTTTTCCTGTTAATTGAAATAAAACATAGATCTTCCTCCTCATTTGACTTCATTTTTGACATCTAGAGGCTGGTGCGGAGAACGCTCCTACACTCAAAATATTGCTGGTCACCCAACTGGACTCGAATCTAGCAAATCTTGCAGTGGTTTTTTTTAATGACTTTCAGCATTTAGATCCTGCTTTTCTGCATTTGGCTCCTAAAGCAGCCGATAAAGAACACAAGTCAACATGGCAAGAAGTCGACCAAGTCAGTGGAACAGGCTTCCTCGGGAGGTGGTGTGGGCTCTCCTCTTTTGGAGGTTTTCAAACAGAGGCTAGATGGCCATCTGACAGCAATGCTGCTTCTGTGAACTGAGGCAGATCATGAGAGGGAGGGCGGGAAGGGTTGCCCTCAGTGCTTAGTTCTCGTGGCCCTTTCTTGCATGCCCAGGGAAGTGCTGATTGCCACTTTGGGGTTGGGAAGCAATCCTGGAGGGGTGTTGTTGTTGTTGTTGTTGTCATCTTCTGGGCGTGGAACAGGGGTCACTGCAGGTATGGAGGGGGAGGTATTTGTGAATTTCCTGCATTGTGCAGGGGGTTGGACTAGATGACCCTGGAGGTCCCTTCCAACTCTATGATTCTGTGATTCTAACTCTACAATATGATTTTGCCGAACATGAAATGAAAATGTGCTTCAGCAGCTCGGTTGATGAGTGACAGTTGAACAAAGCCAGGCAGTGGGTTTGCTGCGTCTTCTGATTCCATCTCATTCCCTCCTTATCCCTAGATTCAAGTCCAGGAGCCACCTTAAAGACTTTTAAGACTTAAAGATTTTCAGGGTAGAAAATACCTACCCACTTTAAACATTCTAATTACTTTAAATTTTTAACGGGTTTTATTGTGTTATGTATTGTATTAATTTAGGTTGTTTGTATTTATTGTCGTGAGCCACCCTGAGCCCGTTCACGGGAAGGGCAGGATGTAAATTGAAATAATAAATTAAAAAATTATTCCTAGATCTGGAGTTTGGAAGGAGAGGGAGGGAGGTTTGGGAGAGGGCAGTGATACCCACACCTCTCTTTTACCTTCAGATACCGGTTAATCTAAACCATCTCGCCGTTCTGTGATTGTAAATTAACATCTCTTTTAATGTCGTTAAGAGCAAACGTACCTCAGTCGATACGCAGACTGCAGATGTGGTGATTTTGGGATGCAGTTGTGTCTTCACTCCGTTTGACGTTTTCCCTCCCGCGGAAGAGTTCTGTGCTTTTCCAGAGTTCTGGACCTCACTGAGAGCCTTTGCGTTCCAGTCAAGCCTCTGTTGCAAAGAGCAAACCCCTCTTTTCTCCTGGGTTCTTAAAGGGACCACTAAAGCCGAAGACCGTGGCATGCTGCTGAAAACCTTCAACGAGCCGGGCTCTGAATATTTCATTTTCTTGCTGAGCACCCGTGCCGGAGGGCTGGGGCTGAATCTGCAGTCTGCGGACACAGTGATCATTTTTGACAGTGACTGGAACCCTCATCAGGTAATAAATAGTGCGTACGCCGGTTTGAGAGGGGGGAAGGATTTTGAAGCGCATAACATAAGAACATGAGACGCCAATGTTGGATCAGGCCAAAGGCCCATCCAGTCCAACACTCTGTATCACATAGTGGCCAGAAATACCAGTGCCCTCAGGAGGTCCACCAGTGGGGCCAGGACACTAGAAGCCCTCCCACTGTTGACACCCCCCCCAAGCACCAAGATGACTGAGCATCACTTGCCCCAGAGTCCCTATCTATACCTTGTGGCTAATAGCCACTGATGGATCTCTGCTCCAGATGCTTATCTAATTCCCTTTTGAAGCCGTCCATGCTTGTAGCCGCCACCACTTCCTGTGGCAGTGAATTACAGCACCGGGGTGGGTGGGAGCATTGCTTTAAAAAAAATCCTGGTGCATCTGGCGGCATATCTGTTGTGTTAAGACAAGAGAAGGAAGGAGTTCCTCTGCATGTTTTCTGATTTAGCCAATACACACAAAGCTGCCTTCTACTGAATCAGACTGTCAGTTTGTCAAGGTCAGTCTTGTCTACTCAGACTGGCGGTGGCTCTCCAGGGTCTAAGCTTGGAGTCTTTCGCATCACCCACTGCCCGGTCCCTTTAAATGGGGTGCCAGAGACTGTACCCGGGACCTTTTGCATGCCAAAGAGAGGCTCTTCCTCTGAGCTACAGACCCTTCTCCTAGTAGACAGCAGCCTGTATTATAAAATTTCTAGGCATGCTTGTTGGAGTTACAGCATCTAAAAATTGGATCTAGAGTTGGAAATTATGGCCCTATAGATAGGGTTATTTTTTCCCTTACCTCGGACACCCTCTGCTTGCTCCTTGCTTAGCGTCCTCCACTGGGGTGACCCTTGAGAAGGAAACAGTCCCCTCATCCCTTAAAGCAGTTTGGCCGGACATAACTTGCCTTCTAGTCGGCTGATGACGATATTAAATTGATCACCAAGGTTAAAGTCCTGTCAAGCACCGAACCCAAAAGATGGCATTTGAAACTGGACCTTGAATATTAAATAAGCACCAATCAAAGGTGACATTCCGTACAGTCACCGAGTTCAGATGTAGTATGGCAGATGGGAAAGGCTCTAGTGGCCGAAGGGCTGCATCTTTTCAAAAGCCCCAAAGTGCCCACATTTCTACCTGGCCAGCAGCCTGTGTTGTGTACAGTCAGTGAAATGCATATTCTCAAATCATGTAGTCAGGTTACCCCGTCACTTCCCACATCTGCACCAGATCTCAAAACCTGGTTTGCACACTTTCATATAATTTACTAATTTGCTAATTTTTTTTCCTTCCAAAGTGTTTTGTATTCCTCTGAATTAAGGAAATATGAATCTTCCTGCCCCTAAGATCTTGGGTCAGGCAGTCTAGGACTCTTGTATTTTTCTATCTTCCTGCTTTTTGCTATCTTCAGTTTTCTGTATTTTATCTTTTAACATCATGTAAGTTCTGATTTCCTTTAACTGGGTTTTCTTTTTAATTGTAGCACTGCGCCTCGGAGGTTTCACCCACATGGCTCTGTGGCCGTGTTACTGGGATCAAACACTAGAGATGTGAAATTTCCAGAAATTTTGAAGCTGTTAGGAAAATTCCCCTCCCCCTTTAGGGAAAAGCAGAAATTCTGCGAAATTCAAGGGGAAATTGACATATTTGCAATATCTGTCTTCCTTTACCACCATAAAAATCCATCAGTTATAATTTAGCTAGCATATAAAAGTTAACTGCTTGGGATATTGATGCAATTTAAAAATAGAGTGAAATTGCAAACAGAACCAATACTTATTTATTATTTATTATTTGATTTATAGCCCGCCCTCCCCGCGAAGGCAGGCTCAGGGTGGCTTACAGTCATATATATAAAAATACATTATACAAATATTAAAACAGATAAAACCACAACAAAATGCAAAGTGCTAGAGCAGTGCAAGTAAACAACGGCAGCATTCTTTTGGCATCCAGATAGAACAGTCACCACTTGAAAGGGAGAGAGCTGCAAATGACTCCACCATGCTCCACCTTAGCATGTGTTTCCTAATTTTTGCCGTCTGAGAAGCAGGGGGAAAAAAATAAAAGTTGAAAGTACTACATGAAAAGCCAGTGTATAATACAAAAACACAAACTCTAGGTATGACAACTAGCATCTTAGGATACCAGGTTAAGCTTTATAACCCTGAAAATGTGAGAACTCTCTAATCATTAACTTCAGACACATTAAATGTTGCCAAATTAGGTTACATTTATTTATTTATTTATTTATTTATTTATTTTATATCCCGCCCTCCCTGTCTGGGCAGGCTCAGGGCGACTTACATTAAAACCGTTAAAACAGAGAAATTATTTAAAATCGCAAGGATGTGGTTATAAAACACAGGGCTCTTTTTGTAGCAGGAACTCCTTTGCCTCTTAGATGAGTCCTCCAAGAGCTTACAGAGCTTAGTCAGTCCTCCAAGAGCTTACAGAGCTCTCCTTACAGGGGCTACTGTAAGCTCTTGGAGGATTAGCTACATTAGGGGTGTGTCGCCTAATATGCAAGGGAGTTCCTGCTACAAAAGGAGCCGTGAATGTAACATAATGAAGTGCTAGTACAGTTCGTACATGATGGCGGGCACTAGCAGCATCAGCAGGCATACATTTAAGCAATAAACATAGTCCTGAAAATATGTTCTCTGTCTACAGTATACATAAGAATTATCTAATGCTGTAGGTTGTCTTAAAGGAAAACGTCCATGCTGTATTTTTAAGCAAATCAAAGCTTGTCTTAAAAACCATTTAACTTGCCTCAAAAGAAAAAGAATTCAGAATTCTCTCAAATTTCCCAATTTTGCCATCAGAAGAATTAAAAAGTCCTTGGGGAAGAGATAATGTTTCTTTGCATCTCCATTACACACAAATGATATTGGGGAGAGACGTGTTCTTTCCTCTTTATAAGGAAGACTCGAGATGTTTTATGAGGCCTACTAAGGTACAGCTGATGTCGTGGCAGTTGTACCAAAGGTGTGAGAGGTCCTTCACCCATGGCGGTGAGGTAGATTGGGCTGCAGATCAGGAGGCCAGAAACAACGCTCCATGCCCGCCTCGTGCCGCTTCGGTGTAGTTGCTCAGATAACCCTGTGGGATGGATCGCAGCCTGGAAACCTCTCACCAGTAGACCTCTTTCCTTTTTGAAGTCATCTCGCCCGAGCAGAGGGTGCAGGCGGACCGGTCCACTGAAATTCCATGGGCTGGCGTCTCTTGATCCGCCGGGTTCAGAGACAGGCGGGGTGTGTGTCTGAGGGGACTGCAGGTCATTCCCGTGAGTGGTGCCAGCGTTCTGTTTCCAGGACCTGCAAGCCCAGGACCGAGCGCATCGCATCGGGCAGCAGAACGAAGTGCGCGTGTTGCGCCTCTGCACCGTCAACAGCGTGGAAGAGAAGATCCTGGCCGCGGCCAAGTACAAGCTGAACGTCGACCAGAAGGTTATCCAGGCTGGCATGTTTGACCAGAAGTCCTCCAGTCACGAGCGAAGAGCTTTCCTCCAGGCCATCTTGGAGCATGAGGAGCAGGACGAGGTAAGGGGGCAGCTGCGGGTGCGCGTCCGGCGCCAGCGCGTGAGGGACCGAACACGTTGCCGCGTTTCCTGCTCCGTGTGGCCCCGAGGCCCAGGGACTGTGGGCTGGAAGGGACTGGCATGAGCCCTGGTCATCCTAGGGAGTGCGCTTGAGTGTCAGTGAAAGGCGCTGGTCCGGCAGCCCTGGAGACTGAAGTCCTCTATCTATCCACAGACCAGACACAGCACGGGCAGCGGCAGTGGCAGCGCAAGCTTTTCCCATACTGCCTCAACCCTGTGCCTCAACTCCGACTCGGAGGAGCCACCTTTAAAGGTGAGAGGGGTCCTTCAGTCGCTGTGCCTGCCCAGCCCAGCCCAGCCCTTAGCCTCTCTCTCGCTTTAAGACCGCCAGCCCGGATGGTGAGCTGTTTCTGCCACGTGGAGACTGGTCCACTAGAGAAAGGACTGAGGCTGTCCCGCTGCTCCTCTCCACACGAGTAGCCAAACCAGTCCCGAGATGGTAAACGGTCCCTCCGGTGTAAAGCTTGCAGGCACCTCCAATACCAGAGCGTATCATAAAGACGGATGTGTATGCACTTACCGATAAATGCATTAAAAAGTTAATGGGGGGGATTTTGCAATCTTTCAGGAAGAAGATGAAGTCCCCGACGACGAGACTGTGAACCAGATGATCGCCCGGCACGAGGAGGAATTCGATCTCTTTATGGTGAGGCCGGCTGACGCTCCTGCTGCTTTCCCGCAAAACCGGCTTTCTTCTCCCTTGTGCTGCTTCATGTTAAGGGGCGTTAAGCGTAGGCGTGGGGTGGCTGGGGCAGAGCAGGGGAGAGAGGGAGCCAGCGCACACCAAGATCATCGTGTTGTTTGTTTAGCTAGCTTGATCGTACTGCGGTGTGAGCAGAGAGAGAGCCTTTCGGGAACTCCACAGGCTCCTTTGCACAGTTAACATCCTGCCGGAGTGATCCGGAGTGCAGTAGGGAAGTGCGGGTGCCAGTAGCCGGGGCCTGACGTAGTGATGAGGGGTCTTGTCTGAATGAAAAGCTCTGTTCGTAAACTAGAAGAGCAGCAAGACTAGAATACCCCCTCTTTAATTTACCAACAGGTCCTTTGTCTGCATTTAGCTATTTATTATCCAAGCTTATTGTCCCGTTCAAAAAATCTGGGGGTGGGAGTGCACTGCATTTATGGGACTGCAGACCAATGTTGGAGCTGCGGTGGCTCAACTGGTTAAGACGCTGAACTGCAGGCTGTGGAAGGTCAGTAGTTCAGCAGTTCGAGACCCGAGTGTGCCACATGATGGAGTGAGCTCCCATCTCTAGTTCCAGCTCCCGCCAGCCTAGCAGTTCGAAAGCAAGAAATTGCAAGTAGATAAACAGGTACCACTTCGGTGGGAAGGTAACAGCGTTCCGTGCGCCTTGGTGTTTAGTCATGCCGGCCACATGACCACGGAAACGTCTTCGGACAGCGCTGGCTCTTCGGCTTGGAAACGGAGATGAGCACCGCAACCCTAGAGTCGGACTCGACTGGCTTTCGAGCAAGGGAACCTTTACCTTTAGACCAATGTTCCCTCTAAGCTGTGGAGTCTTGTGAGCAAAAGTTCTACTTCGTGAGCTACTGGCATTAAAGTTGTGAGCAAGCAATTTGGCTGCTGCAGACATTAGTTTGCTCTGGAGCCATCCTTCCTGAGCGAAGACAACAATGTGTGAGATGGAGGCTAAAAAACTGTGAGCTGGCTCACACTGACTCAGCCTAGAGGGAACACTGCTGCAGCCTACAGCCAGTCTGCCCCCTCTGTGGCGCTGGTTACCAAAGGTCTGTCTCCCGCACCTTGTCATGGGCCTAGCAGAAAGGTGCAAAGAGAAAGGGGCGATCTCTTCCGCATAACCAGGAGCGCCTTTCTTCAGCACTTTTGGCGGTAGACAGAAATGGGAGTCCCTCCCCCTCTTAGCCAACAGGAGTCCCTGTTTTAGGTAGCCGCAAGCCATTGTTGCCGGAGGCTAATGGAAGTTAGGTGGGAGGGAGGCTTTTTGGATCCCCAGCCTTTTCTCGTTTCTCTCTCTGGTGGAAGCAAGGGTGTCCAGGGTAGGTGCATGGATTTCAGTGTCTAGATCAAGCGAATGGCTCCGAGATGGCATAAACATCTGGAGCAGAGGCCCATCAGTGGCTATTAGCCACAAGGTATAAATAGGAACTCTCCATCTGGGGCAAGTGATGCTCTGTAGTCTTGGTGCTGGGGGGGGGGGGCGACAGTGGGAGGGCTCCTAGCGTCCTGGCCCCACTGTTGGACTTCCTGAGGGCACCTGGTGTTTTTGGCCACTGTGTGAGAGTGTTGGACTGGATGGGCCATTGGCCTGATCCAACATTGGCTTCTCTTCTGTGGGGGTATGCCTCTGGTCTCATCGATCTTACAGAAGCAGAGAGATAGCAGATAACAGCACTTCCCCATATTGTTTCTGTACAATGTTTTGCCTTTCTGATACAATCTCACTGTGGAGTTTCCATTCGCCTGTCTGAAAGGTATCAAGAGTACACACTCATCCCCATAAGCGGATTAATTTCGGAGTACATCTTGTTCAAAGTCTGGGGGAATTATCTGCAGCCGTATTTCGGACTGCATCCATCCCTGTCCAGTAGACCCCTGACTCAGACATAGGATTTCCAGCCTCCAGGTGAGAAAATCCAAAAACTGAGGGTCACAGTGTTAGGAAGATATGCAGAAGTATATAGTACTCTGTATAACTGATGTATGTTCAAGGTAAGTCAATTTTGTGCTTTTTATTTATCTTTCGTTTTCCCTGTACACAAGGAAGCTAATTCAGTCCCATTTGGACCCTTATTTACATTTGGCTCCTGCATAGCTGATGAAATGTTAGAAACGATGCGTTCAGCCTCTTCTGCCGAGTACGTAAACCTCTCATCAGTACGCGACATCCCTACAGTAGTAGAAAATCCAAGAACCGAGGGGTCACAGTGTTAGGAAGGTGTGCAAAAGTATAAGCCCTGTGTATAAAAATTATGCACAAAAAAGCACAAAATCGATTTACCTTGAACATACGTCTATTATACACAGTGCTATATACTTTTGCATAGCCTCCGGGTGAGGCCCGGAGATCTCCCAGAATGACCTCCAGATTACAGAGGTCCCTCTCCTTACTTTGGAGGGTGGGACTCTATGGAGCTAGACCTCCCACCACAAACCCTGCCCCTCCTGAGGCTCCACCCACAGAATCTCCAGGAATCTCCCAGCCCTCACTTGACTATCCTACCTGGAAGCCTCGTTTCACATGCAAGGCTCGTTATTTGTACGATTAGAAGAAGAGATTGGATTTATACCCCGCCCTTCGCTACCCAAAGGAGTCTCAGAGTGTCTTATAATCCTTTCCCCTCCTCACAAGAGACACCCTGTGAGGCAGGTGGGGCTGAGAGAGCTCTTTTGAGAATTGCCCTTGAGAGGACAGCTCTGAGAGAACTTGTGACTGACCCAAGGTCACACCAGCAGCTGCATGTGGAGGAGGAGTGGGGAATCAATCCCCGTTCTCCCAGATTAGAGTCTGCGCTCCTAACCATGACACCAAGCTGGGTCTCTTTACACTTTGAAGATCTGCGATGTGTCATTGCAGTGGTCTCAAGATCTCCCCACACCCCATAATTTGTAACTTGGTAGTGTTCCCCTTTGCTGTTGTACTCTTCACCTGCCTCAGCATTTCACCCCGGTGACTTCCGCGTTTCTTAGTGCTGATCTGTAGTTGCAGAAAGCTTTGGTGTTTTTTAAAGGGAGTGGCGCTCCCTTTGGAGGGTCCAAGCTTCATCCCCGGCTCTTCTCCTTGCAGCGCATGGATCTGGACCGCAGGCGAGAAGAAGCCCGCAATCCGAAGCGGAAGCCCCGCCTGATGGAGGAGGACGAGTTGCCCTCTTGGATCATCAAAGACGACGCCGAAGTGGAGAGGCTCACGTGCGAGGAGGAGGAGGAGAAAATGTTTGGGCGAGGCTCCAGACACCGAAAGGAAGTGGACTATAGCGACTCGCTGACCGAGAAGCAGTGGCTCAAGGTATACATGGTACAGCATCGTTCTCCAATGATTTTCTAAAATTTTTATTTCTTCCTGTGTCTGTGTCGTCTGTGTGCTTGAATGCAGGAAAATACCCAAGGTCAGAAGCTTTGCTGGTCAACAGACATTGACCTAGCAAGCATTCGGTCTGATGCTACCTTAAACACTTCACCAGAGCTAAAACACTTCAATTAAACGGCTAACTTAGATTGCCCTTTTCTACATTTAAAATGGGTTGAGCTTTCACAAAGTGGACGTTCACTCTGCCAGACAAAACTTCTGTTGGGTATTAGTAAATGTGACTGTGTCGTGCTATATTACTAAATTCAGTTGATCTCCTTGACAGATATCAAACATTTTCAGATGCAGAGAGCCAGTTTGGTGTCGTGGTTAAGTGCGCAGACTCTAATCTGGGAGAACCGGGTTTGATTCCCCACTCCTCCACTTGCCCCTGTTGGATGACCTTGGGCAAGCCATAGTTCTGGCACAGCTGTCCTTGAAAAAGAGCAGTTTCTGTCAGAGCTCTCTCAGCCCCACCTGCCTCACAGGGTGTCTGTTGTGGGGAGGGGAAGGGAAAGGAGTTTGTAAACTGGTCTGAGACTCCCTTGGGTAGTGAAGGGCGGGGTATAAATCCAATCTCTTCTTCCTCAGAGGGTGTCTGCTGTGGGGAGGGGGGAGGGAAAGGGGTTTGTCAGCCGCACTGAGACTCCTTTGGGTAGTGAAGGGCAGGGTATAAATCCAATCTCCTCCTCTTCTTCTTCTTCCTCCTCCTTCTTCTTCTTCCTCCTCTTCTTCCTCCTCCTCTTCTTCTTCCTCTTCTTCCTCTTCTTCCTCTTCTTCTTCCTCTTCTTCCTCTTCCTCTTCTTCCTCTTCCTCTTCTTCCTCTTCCTCTTCCTCTTCTTCTTCTTGCTGTGCCACTGAGTATGAGTATACCCACTACTTGTCTGTCCCAACAAACATTTTCATCTGCTTGTTGCCCAGCAGCGGTCCAGATAATAGGAGTGCTCCCCCCCCCCCCCCGTAGGAGACAGATTTGAGGGGAGGGGCTGGGCTTGAGCTAGGGAGCCCCACCCTTCCTCCTCAGTAGAAAATGGCATGCAGGACTAGTTAGCTGTGGTCTTTCACCTTGCCAAAACGACGTGCCTTTCCTCTATAGCAGCAGCCGGGCTGCTGTGTCTGGATCTTTTGGGCTGGAGGAAAGAGGGCGACGCGTTGAGCTCAAGGAGCAGCGGAGGAGCCGTGACTCTGTTTCAGGTCAGCCTTTTGGAGGTTGTGCCGAAGACTCAGAACGGGGAGGCCAGGAGCTGGCGATCTTGCTGTGCCGCCGGGTCCCCCCACTCCCGTTCCGTTTCCAGAGGGCACCTCTGTCCTCCTCATCACTGGCCGAGATGAGTCTGTGCCACTCAGAGCAGCCTTTGTTCCTGCTGCCTGAAGAATAGGGAGCTTTATGTGTTCCTCTCTGGACTGGCTGCCTGCTTGAGGGGAGGCACCGAGGCCTCTGGGCCACGGGGGAACGGGAAGGTGGCTGTGCCCTTACCCAAGAGGTCCGTGGGCGCAGCTACCAAGGTAGCGTCTGCTTCCGTCTCTGCCATTAAGGGTTGTTCTGCTTTCCATAAAGGACGTCAGAGTTGTCAGAGAGTGCTGTCGCTTCCATAAGAACATAAGAGAGAAGCCAGTGTCAGATCAGGCCAGTGGCCCACCCAATCCAACCCTCTGTGTCACACAGTGGCCAGAAATACCAGGTGCCATCAAGAGGTCCAGCAGTGGGTCCAGGACACCAGGAGCCCCCTCCACTTCTCCCCCACCCCAAGCACCAAGAAGACAGAGCATCACTTGCCCCAGTCCAAGAGTTCCTATCTATACCTTGTGGCTCATAGCCACCGATGGACCTCTTCTCCAGATGCTTATCCAATTCCCTCTTGAAGCCGTCCGTGCTTGTAGCCGTCACCACCTCCTGTGGCAGTGAATTCCACGTGTTAACAGCACCAATCGATCCAGCGCGTGCGCACTAGACCCATTGGTGTGGAGCACAGAGACCACGTCGAAGATCGACTTCCTTTTATCCGTTCTAACCCGACCGCTCAGCAATTTCATCGAGTGCCCGCGAGTTCTTGTCTGGTGAGAAAGGGAGAAAAGTCCTTCTTTCTCGACCTGCTCCATCCCACGCGTAATCTTATAAACCTCGGTCTCGTCACCCCCTCAGCCGTCGTTTCTCCAAGCTAAAGAGCTCCAAGTGCCTTTATCCTTTTTTCATCCAAAACATTTTTGGGCCAGCTTCGCGTGGTGGTCTGTAAAGCGCCGTCTGTTTGCAACCAACTTATGGGAGACCCTATATAGAGTTTTCAAGGCGAGAGAGGAACGGAGTCGCTTTGCCCATTCCCTGCCTCTGCACGGTGACCCTGGACTTCCTGGGTGGTCTCCCCTCCAAGGACCAATTAGAGCCCACCCTGCTTGGCTTCCGAGATCCGACGGGGATCAGGCTGGCCTGGGCCATCCCGGTCAGGTGCCAGCCTCAGACGGTCCTCCCAGGAGCGAAGCTTCAGATACAGCCGAAGACCTACCGCGGTTCAGGCGGGGTGTCAGGAGACAGCTTCTTCCTGCTCCGTGCCCCGTCCTCCGAGACGTTTCCCGTCGACTGTGGAAAAAAGGGGGGTGGGATGGTGCCGATTTTAAATGGCACCTCCGTACCACCGCGTCTCCGCTCCTTCGCGCTCCCTAGGTCCGGGGAGCAGGCCCTCCGCCCAAAGAGCGGGTAAGGCTGGCGCAAGAGCGTCCTAGAGGGACCGCCGAGGCTCTCTCGCCCACTGGAACCCTCTCTAAGGCCGCCGGAATTCGCTCCTAAAAAGCGCAGCGGCTTCCTTCTCTTCTTCCTTCTTCTGTCTTCGCTTTCTTGCTAGCTGCGCTATGCAGCGCAGCTGGAGCACGTCCTGCTAAAGGCAGGGCCGGCAAGAAACTGGGCAGCCTCCAAGGAGATAAGCCCCTCCCCGCCTGGATCAAAGCTGGAGCCGACCCTGAGGAGGGAGGAGGAGCTTATATCCCAGACGTGAGGAATGTCCCACTTCAGAAACACCGAGAAAGGAAGATTCACGGTAAGTGAAAGAAACCTTCCGTTCTTGGGGAACCAAGTGAAGGAAGAAACTGGGGGTCTAGAAGAGCAAGGGAGGAAATTGCCTTTGCCTGTTGGTTCCACTGCTAAAGCTCACATCCGTTCAATATCCCAGAAATGTTTCAGACTTTCTGAGGAAACTGCCCTGGTTCTGAAGAAGAGTGGCGACTCTCAGAGAACTCACCCACAACAGATGACTGCTTTCTCGAGATACTGTGCTGTCCATCTCTGTATACCGCAGAAATGTGTTCATCTGTGTGTCGGTTCCTCGGAGAGGGGCCATCCTGTCAAAACCCTTGCCTGAGGTGTCAAGAAGTAGATGCTACTGGGTTACGTGGACCATTGGTTTAAGTCGGCGTGACGCACAGCTGTGGCCGTGGTGTAGAGACGCGTGCAGAGGACTCTCTTGCAACTCAGTCTCCAGTACCAATCGGCAGTGCCTGTGTTTCCCAGGAAGAGGCTGTGATTCAGTGCAGCGTGAGCTTTCATTAAATCATAGAGTTGGAAGGGACCTCCGGGATCATCTAGTCCAACCCCCTGCACAGTGCAGGAAGTTCACAAATACCTCCCCGCACACACACCTCCCCCCAGTGACTCCTGCTCCATGCCCAGAAGATGGCAAAAAAAAACCCCTCCAGGATCCCTGGCCAAACTGGCCTGGAGAAAAATTGCTTCCTGGGCGTGCAAGAAAGGGCCACGAGAACTGAGCCCTGAGGCGACCCTTCCTGCCCTCCCTTCTCATGATCTGCTTAAGTTCACAGAACCAGCATTGCTGTCAGATGGCCACCTAGCCTCTGTTTGAAAACCTCCAGAGAAGGAGAGCCCTCCACCTTTCTGTGTTCAGTTCCATCTCTCTGGCATCTCCAGTTAACGAACAGCAAGTGATCCTCAAGCCGGGAAAGACCTCTGTCTGGGACCTTGGAAAATCCTGCCCTTCAGAGCAGTCAGTGGTAAACTAAAGGAAGCCTTGGTCTGACTTTGTGTAGGGTAGCTGCTTATATTTTATAATCCGTGATGGCTGACTTCCCACATTGAGTGCTCCTTCCTGGTTCATCCTTTTACCCCTAAATGTAGTGCCTGCTTCCATGGAGGGAAATGTTCTTTCCATACTGTGCCCTAATCTTAAAGAAAAGGTTTATTAGCAGAGGTGGACAGTCTGCAGGCCATTGAAGTGGCACACCTGGTCATAACTGGTTTATTCAGCAGGTGTTCTGGTATTTTCTGTGTTCTGAGGGGACAGACCCGGGGGGGGGGGGCCGGGTGTCATTTGCTTGGCATGCAGAAGGTCCCAGGTTCAATCCCCAGCATCTCCAGTTAAAAAGGACCAGCATGCAGAAGGTCCCAGGTTCAATCCCCAGCATTTCCAGTTAAAAAGGATCAGGCAGTAGGTGATGAGAAAGACCTCCACCTGAGACCCTGGCTCAATGGGAGAGCCTCTGCTTGGCATGCAGAAGGTCCCAGGTTCAATCCCCAGCATTTCCAGTTAAAAAGGATCAGGCAGTAGGTGATGAGAAAGACCTCCACCTGAGACCCTGGCTCAATGGGAGAGCCTCTGCTTGGCATGCAGAAGGTCCCAGGTTCAATCCCCAGCATCTCCAGTTAAAAAGGACCAGGCAGTAGGTGATGAGGAAGACCTCCCCCTGAGACCCTGGCTCAGTGGGAGAGCCTCTGGCTTGGGCTGCGGAAGGTCCCAGGTTCCAATCCCTGGCGGCATCTCCAGTTAAAAGGACCAGGCAGTAGGAAAGACCTCTGCTTGAGACCCCGGAGAGCAGCTGCCAATCTGAATAGGCAAAACTGACCTTGATGCCCTCCGGGTCCGATATACTGACCAGGCAGCTTCACGTGTGTTCGGATGTGTCCCGTGTCTGTGGATTTGTCTTGGATGTCAGATTCTCGCTCTGTTTTGAGATGTGGTACTCCAGTAACCGGGCCACTTCTCAGCAGCAAATGGAGTAGAGATTTCAGTGCTCCCTGTGAGTTTCCCTCCTGCCTGTTCAATGGGCACTAATCCGGGAGCTGCTCCGTCCACTGGTTGTTTTACCAGAGGACTGAATTTGGACACTCGCAATAGTTCTGCTCAGTCTGAAGACTTCCTGAACCTGGAAGTCTTCAGTCTTGGCTTTGTGCATGAGGAGGGGAGGAGGGCGGGAAAGGGAGTACGTGAACCCAGTGACTCCAGGTCTGTTCGCCTCCTGAGCCAGGGGTGGTTCATTCCAAAATCCACTCAAGTCGATCTGGTGCTGGCCTCAGGAATCAGCAGTCTCCGGCAGAGGCCCCAGCCCCAGAATGCTTAGCGGCCCCCCCTGGAACTCCCACGATGGCTTCTCGCCACTCGAAGGCCTCCCCTGGATTAACTGGAGATGAGCAGGCGGTCTCCCTTCACCAGCAGGACCACGTGAGCAGCTTTGTCTCAGAGTCGGCCGGAGTTCAAACGCAGGGCGTCGGCCAACAGAGCGAGACCTTAGTGCAGAGTTCCTCTAGGCGCCGTTCTGTGATCACAGTCCCACCGCCTGGGCCCTTTCTCCAGCGTTCAAAGCTGCACGAGGATTTATTGAATGTGATGTCTGCAGACCGACGCCAAGCTGTGAATGTCCTGCCGCCGGCTACTTTTTCAGCACGGAAAGACAGAAAGCTTCGAAGGGACATCTGACAGTCCTCGTTGACATTGGCAGCGGCAGTAAGTCCACCACGAGCTCAAACCCAGTCTCATCAAAAGATAAATGGGTTCTATTCGTTCCCTCCAGCTGTACACAGATGTATCCTACAGATCTATCGTTCGGTCCAGAAACCCTTTCGCAGAGCCCGCATTGGAGGGATCTTGGGACTAATTACGACTTGTAAGCTGCCCTCCTCTCCTTGTCCCCCAAAGAAAATACAAAGCAGCAAACTCACTATAATAGCGCTCTGCATCCTCTTTAGTGAACATACATCCTTTTTTAAAATAAAGGACAGTTTTATTATGCATCTTGCTCGAGTCCTCGCCATCCTAGAGAGAAGGGAAAGAACAGTATGTATGGCGTCTGAGATGCTTTGATGGTTAGAACATGATACCCAGGAGCAGAACTGGGGGAAACTGCACAGTATCTTGTCGCCAATGCTGGCGTTAAGAAATCAGAGCACGATACAACTTGGGGGTGCCTAAAACTCTGAAGTTGCCACCTGAGAATCAGAAGTCATGCTTCCAGTCCTGCACCGGGGTTCGTTAGCACGCACTCACACAGGTTGTATGCAGTGTTCCCTCTAAGCTGAGTTAGTGTGAGCTAGCTCACAGTTATTTACCCTCCGGCTCACACATTTTTGCCTTAGCTCAGGAAGGATGGCTCCAGTCCACAGCAAACTAATCTATGCAGTTGCCGAATCACTCGCTCACCACTTTATTGCCAGTAGCTCACAAAGTAGAATTTTTGCTCACAGGACTCCACAGCTTAGAGGGAGCATTGGTTGTATGTGCATTTTCAGCTTGCATCTGCAGACCCCTGGGGGCTTAGGTTAATACCTAGGGGCAATTCACAAAACCAAACAAGGACCCACGGTAATGTTGGTAATACCTAGGGGCAGCAGTCATGTGCCCTGGGCTCTGGTGGGAAGGGGGATTGAGCCTCTGTTTTGTGGGCCCCTAACCATTCTGAGGCCAGATAACCCTTGTCTCTTTTTCTCCCCCTCCCCCCGCCCTTCCTCTGATGATATCACTACTTTTGTAAGCTCTTTATGGTCCTAAGCAGAGAGGTCCTTTCCCCCAAAGGGCCACCTACACCAATGGCACGGTGTGGACAGGCAACAAACAGGATTGATCTAACCCATGTCGGCAGGCCGTTCTCCCTTCATGAACCATAGAACCATAGAATGTTAGAGTTGGAAGGGACCTTTCAGGTCATCTAGTCCAGCCCCCCGCAGTCTGCAGGAGCACAGCCGAAAGAGAGCCCTACAACATACCCGAAAGATGGTCGTCCAGCCTCCACTTGAAAATGTCCAGCGAAGGAGCGTCCACCACCACTTCCCGAGGCAGTCTGTTCCACGGCTCAACCCCTCTTAGAATCATAGAACGTTAGAGTTGGAAGGGACCTTGCAGGTCATCTAGTCCAGCCCCCCGCACTCTGCAGGAGCACAGCCAAAAGAGAGCCCTACAACATACCCGAAAGGTAGTCGTCCAGCCTCCGCTTGAAAACGTCTGGCGAAGGAGCATCCACCACCACCTCCCGAGGCAGTCTGTTCCACGGCTCAACCACTCTTACGGTTAGGAAGTTTCTCCTGGTATTTAGCCGGTAACGACTCCCTTGTAATTCCCACCCGTTAGATCTCGTCTTGCAATCCGGAGCAAGAGAGAATAGATCTGCTCCATCTTCTACATGACAGCCCTTCAGATACTTGGAGACTGCAATCATGTCCCCTCTAAGGCTTCTCTTTCCCAGGCTAAACAGACCCAACTCTTTCAGCCTTTTAGAACCCCCTTCTAGTTTGCCGATAGGGTCAGACTCTCACAGCCTTGGGTTCCTTTGCTCTGTGGGTTGAGTCAGTGAGAGCCTCCAGCCGTGTATGAGTCAAGAAAAAGGAAAGTTGGGCAGTTCTACTTGTGAGTTTCCCCTTCTCCTGTTAGACATGGCCCGCAGTCCACACTCACCTCTGTTCCTTCTCCTGTCGTTTAATCTGAACCGTTAATGTTTGCAGTGGCCACAGATCTCTTTGCAGCTTTGGAAGAATTTGCAGCCGAGCCGGCGGGAAGGGGCGCCCCTACGCCCGGTTCCCCTGCAGAGTCCCTGCCTGCCGGCCCTGTTTAACACAAGAAGGAAGCTCGTAGGTAAGAGAGCCAGCTTTCCTTTCCCGCCCAGAGAGCCGCCACCTTCCGTGTTCCTTAGCCGCTTGAACGGGGGAGTAACGGCCTCGGGGAGCCCCCTCTTCTAGCAGCCAGACTGCGTGGGCTAGTGTGAGTGTTCGTGGTACGTATCCTGCAGTGCGGTCTCTCTGTGCTTGTTGTTCATTTTACCTGGCTGACCGTCCCCCTCTCCCGTCCGTAGGCCATCGAGGAGGGCACCCTGGAGGAGATCGAGGAGGAGGTGCGCCAGAAGAAGTCCTCCCGCAAGCGCAAGCGGGACGTGGACGTCGGCACGTCCACCCCCACCACCAGCACCCGCAGCCGGGACAAAGACGACGACAGCAAGAAGCAGAAGAAGCGGGGCAGGCCGCCCGCCGAGAAGCTCTCGCCAAACCCCCCCAACCTCACCAAGAAAATGAAGAAGATCGTGGACGCGGTGATTAAATATAAGGACAGGTAACGAAGCCAGGGAAGCGTCGTCGTCTGCTGCTGCTGCTGCTGTGTTGTGTTCAAGGCTCCCTCTAAGCAGTGGAGTCTTGTGAGCAAAAACCTTACTTTGTGAGCTCCTGGAATTAGAGTTGTGTGGGCAGTGTTCCCTCCAAGCTGAGTGAGTGTGAGCTAGCTCACAGTGTTTGAGCCTGTGGCTCACACATTTTTGTCTCCGCTCAAGAAGGAGGGCACCAAAGCAAACTGATTTATGCAGCAGCCAAATCGCTCGCTCACAACTTTAATGCCAGTGGCTCACGAGGTAGAAGTTTTGCTCACAAGACTCCACAGCTTAGAGGGAGCATTGGTTGTGAGTGAGCGATTAGGCTGCTGCATAAATCAGTTTGCTCTGGAGCCATCCCTTCCTGAGCGAAGACAAAAATCTGTGAGCCAGAGGCTAAAAAACTGTGAGCTGGCTCACACTCACTCAGCTTAGAGGGAACACTGGTTGTGTCACAGATGTTTGGGGAGATCTGACAACTCTGGACTTAGGGCGAGGATGCATTGGAGGCGGCCCATTTACAAGAGCTGGCCAGTCTTTCGTCCAAGATAAATATGGACAAACACGACCCAATCAGAAAATAAGTGTAAAGACAACAGTCGTGAGAATCTGAGGGATACGCCCAGGATCCATTTAGAAGCTTAGCAGCCTATCTGAGATCAGCATCCTATCTGAATATAGTATTCCTTATGACTTGTTGTCAAGCACTTCATGAATACAGAGAGCTTTTGTACTACTCTAATATCTCCTGAGGAAGATCCATTATTGAAACGTTGTTAAGGATATTTTTTTATAAGTACCCAAAGGTACACTTTTATTAGTTTTTCTTTTATAATCTACAACAAACAAATCTACACACTACAAACACTCTACTACACATAGCATATATACCAAGAGTACAGTTACATTATATGCTTATATCCAATTACTTAATTAATAAAAACGCTCTATCAGACTGTAACGATTTCATGTTTAACTCTGTGTGTGTGTCTTTAAAAGTTTGGATGCATGGCTGTATGATAGTCTAGAGTAGTGGAAACAAGCAAGTGGTGTGATTGGTGAGTGACAGAGAGGGGGAGGGGTTTTGGAAATGATTCTGTGTGGATGAGCAGATATGTCAGTCAAGAGTGTCAGAGATATGACAGTTGATGAAGACAGTTGGGAGTTAGTTAAGTTCTGATTTCTGTGAGAGAAGCAGAAGTTCTGTGTATGAGAGGTGGGAGACCCATCCCTGTGTGGGATGAGTTTAGTTCTGGGGTCTGAAGGAGAGACCTTCTTGTGTGTGTTATGAAAAGTTGAAGTATAAAGAAACAGTAACCATATATGGCCTGAAGGAAACAGTGTTACAAAGTTACCTAAGGAAAAATCCCTGTCAGTAGGGAGCAGACTGTGTGTTATACCTACTTTTACTAGTTACATGGTTCTACCCTCGTATTTATGCTTTCTTTAAATAAATCCTATTTCATTCAAGTATACCAGTTCTGGAAAGAATCCTTCCTCAGACCACATAGTTCCTCGAAAGCTTAAACCCTCGATATACCTACCCAGTGATGAATATTATATTATAAAGGTTTGGAAAGCCTTACATTTCCTGGTGGCAGCCGGATTACCCAGTAGAGAAAAACATAAAGTACACTTTTAAAGGGAAACCAGACCTTCCCAGTAAAAGGGTCGTCACACAGACACTTTCCATTCTTCTGTCTTCTGTGTGCTCAAGTCCATTGTGATTTATTGATGATGTTGTAGTGCTTTAGATTATAATACATAGGAAGTTTTTTCTTTGCAAGTCTTGGTGACGGCTTGATTTGTGGGTCAGACTCTCAGGACTGTTGCCTTTATACTTATTTTCAGTCTTTCGTCCAGCCAAAAATGGGGAGAATCCTTGGATCGGCTTATGCTCCTAACGGAAAAATAAAGAGGGAGAGGCATCCTTTTAAAGATTTCATTTAAAAAAATTAAAAATGAAAATAGCAGGATGAGGAACAAGCTTGGTTAAGTCAGAGCAGAACAGAGTTTGAGTCCACAATCAGGCACCTTTTAAGACCAGCCAAGTCTTTTTCAAAGTGTAAGCTCCCGTGTGCTTTGCACAAGAAAGCTTCTACCCAGAATTTAAACTTTGTTGGTCTTAGAGGTGCCCGGCTGGACTCGAACTTTGCTCTGCTGCTTTGGACCGACACAGCGACCCCACCTGAGTTTAAGTCGGAGCAGTCTCTTTGGCATCATTTCGGGCTGTCTTGTCTTTTTTTCTAGGACCAAACAACAAGGAGGTACACAGTCTGAAAACCACACCCAACCAAAAAAACATGTACAAATCTAAAATGAATGTAATATATAATTTATAACGTATAAAGGCGAAGAACAAATACGACTACTACAAGTCTGTCTGTCTCAGACTTGTAGTAGTAGTATTTGTTCTTCGCCTTTATACTTTATAAATTATATATTACAGACAGATCTTGGTAGATGTCCTAATTTTAGAGCCCCAGATTCTGTCAAATATCGCTTGCAACCCATGTCCTATTTATCACAGCTTGATACTCATAAGTTTAGGGAAACCTTCACATTAGCCAGATGTGAGGCTTTCCCCTCCGCGATGCTTGAGGGCAGATTCAAAAGGATCCCCACTGAATATAGACTTTGTCGATGCGGCTCAGGAGAGACAGAAACTATTGAGCACATGATGCTCAGATGTAACTGGTATAACAAGATCCGTGACAAATATATTACTCCTCTTATAACAGATATGGTGGGACAATCAGGTGCTGAGCAGTGTAACCGATGTTAATTGATGGGAACCGGACAATTACCGAAACTGTGGCAAAATTTTGGGTAGCATGCTACTGCATCCGAAATACACAATCAAATGTATAATAATAGTTGCCTAATAGTCTCTGTTTTATGTTCTTCTTTTACTTTATTACGCTCAACTGTATTTTTATAGAATTTTGTTTTACTGTCCTAAATTCAGTTATATGAATGTTATGAATGTTATATTTAAAAGCATGTGTGTTCTATGGCTTGTTGCCGTAATAATAAATGACTGACTAACTGACTACTACAAGTCCAAAATATGCTCGATATACGTACATGAAATATAAAGCAGTCACTCCAACTCCCGAGTATTACATTATACATTAACAAGCTGTAAATAGACCTATTGGCGTTCACGAAGGGTACGCTTCATATGATGCTTGTGTAAAGAGTCCGATTCTAGGTGAACCGATGAGCCAATATATCCTCTTCTCGGAACTAAAAAAGAAACATACGAACTCTTCTTCGTAGAGGAAAAAAGTTCACCCAGGCTTAGGTTCTGTAATGCTTCGTGCGTTTGCCAGCTTTGTTCCACATATCACTGCCCCTTTTTCAAAAGAAGAACTATGACTAATAAATCAAAAATTGTACAAGCACATCAATAAGACTGCGATTGAAACACACCTCTATGTTTTACCCCAATTGAGATAACTCACCATAACTTGTTTATCTTCTAAAGTTTCGTGATGTTATTGCAGCCTTTCAGCTGGCGCACAGAAAATTCCGATGATTGTGAAGATGGGGCCATTCCTAATTTTAAAAGCCCTCATTAAACAGCCACAATCCAGGAGGACGTATCCCCCAACTACTTAATAATAAATCATTCAGGTGTGTTTCAAACGTAAACAAACTCATAAAAACCAGCTATAATCAATGTGTTGATTTAAACCACAAGGTGCCACCTTATTAATTAAATTTGTGAATCGTCCTTACTTCCTGTTGTAATAAATGTTTAGAAACATCTACGTCATTGTATTTGTGTCCCTTAAAGAGGTATAATGCAAAAAACCATAAAGCGCCTGGATTTGATGGGCCGGATGGAATTCCCAATAACTCATGACAGCCCCTGGATTTTGGCCACTGTGTTGGACTGGATGGGCCACTGGACTGATCCAACATTGGCTTCTCTTATGTTCTTACGAGTTTGAGTGTTCTTGTGTTCAGAGAGAGTGAAAGAGGCTTCCTTTTTTTTAATCGTCTCCCCTTTTCTTGTCTTGTAGCAGCAGTGGACGGCAGCTGAGCGAAGTCTTCATCCAACTTCCTTCTCGTAAGGAGCTTCCAGAGTACTATGAACTCATTCGCAAGCCGGTGGATTTTAAGAAAATAAAGGTAATTCTTTTCATAGCCGTCGGAAGGTGCTTACGGAGACCTTGCCTTCTTGCCGCTTTGCTGTCCCGATCTTTCCATAATTCAGTCGCGGCCAGCAGTTTCGCAGCTTACTGCTGATCATTTTTGTTTGTCCTCAAGGTAGGCTCCACAGTCCATCCTGTTACATTTGCAGATCACTGAACGAGTCCTCCCAGGCAAGCTGCTTTCTGGCCCCCTGCCCCTCCCAACCACTTGCACTGCCGCGCGATCCTAGAGATCGAGCCCTGCGAGGAAAGGCCGAGGGCCGGGGGAATGTTTAGTTTGGAGAAGAGGAGATTGAGGGGGGACATAATTGCTCCCTTTAAATATCTGAAAGGCTGTCATTTGGAGGAAGGCCAAGGAGCTGTTCCAGTGGGCAGCAGAGGAGAGGACCCAAAGCAACGGGTTTAAATTACATGCAGAAAGGAAAACACTTTAAAAAAAAATAAATCCCCAGGCAGTTTAATGAGACATGGATACCCACAGATAGTGAAGAGTTTCTGCATACTCCAGGTATGCAAACAAACAATCATGCCAGAATTTAAAATTAAGACATGACCTTCTTATTTTATGGCATACTAATGACAGCTAGTTGCCTTCTAAGAGCTACAGAAGGTTGAGGTCAGTTGAGAGTTAAACAAAAGAGGGAAATAGTGGAAAGGAAATGGGCTTGTTCATACTCTTAACATTTGGAGAGTATGAGGCACATATTTTCCAACCTTGTGTTCGTCTGCAAACTCTACTATAGAGCACAGGGAGCCTTTGGTTTTAAAGATCATCTTCCTTGAACTGTGCAAACAGCTTCCTGTTCATTTAGCCCAGGAAACACTTTTTCAGGGTCAGAGTGGTTCAAAGGTGGAACCAGCCGCCTCGGGAGGGGGCGAGCTCCCCTTCATTGGCACCTTCCAAGAAGAGGCTGGACGGATATTTGTCAGAGATGCTCTAGGCTGGTCCTGCACTGGGCAGGGGGTCGGACTAGATGGTCTGTCTGGCCCCTTCCCACTCTATGATTCTGTGATTCTATTCCTGTCCTGGCTCTTTCAGCCTAGAGTAAGACCACGCTGCAGCTTTGGGTTGGGGGCTCGCACCATGCAGGTGCGGAGTAGGTCGGCTCGCCCTCCTTCTCCCTGGGCTCTAAAGGCCAATGGAGGAAGGCTTCGAGCCCTGCTTTGTGGCTTCACTAGAACAAAGGCAAGGGGACACAGATCAACTAGTGCAGTCGTTCTTCTGTCAGAGATATGCAAAGTCTCTCTGCATTACGTCTACCGATACAGGTATTTGTAGGACCAGCATTACATGCAGTTCTTGCTCTAGTACAGGGGTCCTCAACATGGTGCCCACGGGGGCCAGGGTACCTGCCAATACCTTTCTTGGTGCACTTCCATTGTTTTCGGGAAATGGACAGGGCCACGTGGGGTTTTTGCCCAGCAGGGCGTCCAGTAGGCCACTGGAAATCTGTTGAAGAGTTGCTATGAGAGTTATGCATAACCTCCCTCCCTGAGCTTGTGTGGTTGGCTCTGCCTCCTTGGGTAGCCATTTTGTTGTTGGCTCCGCCCCCTGCAGCAGCCATTTTGTGGTTGCGCCCACCAACCTGCTTCAAGATTCCAAAGGTGCTTGCAGGGTCAAAAAAGGTTGGGCACTCCCCGGCCCAACAAGTCCTGCAGACACCAGGCCTCTAGGTTAAAGCTTTGGGAACATAAGGACATCAAAAGAGCCCTGCTGGATCAGACCAGTGAGGGTCCATCTAGTCCGGCATCCTGTCTCACACAGGGGCCAGCCAGTTCCTCTGGAGGTCCAAACAAACAGGGTCAGACCAGTGAAGGTCCCTCTAGTCCAGCATCCCATCTCACACAGTGGCCAACCAGTTCCTCTGGAAGGCCAACAACAGGGCAGAGAGGCCGAGGCCTTCCCCTGATAAGAACACCAGAAGAGCCCTGCTGGGTCAGACCAGTGAGGGTCCATCTAGTCCTGTCTCCTGTCTCACACAGGGGCCAGCCAGTTCCTCTGGAGGGCCAAGGACAGGGCTCAGAGGCTGAGGCCTTCCCCTGATAAGAGCATCAGAAGAGCCCTGCTGGGTCAGACCGGGGAGGATCCACCAAGTCCAGCCTCCCGTCTCACACAGGGGCCAGCCAGTCCCTCTGGAGGGCCAGCAACAGGGCAGAGATGCCGAGGCCTTCCCCCAAGAAGAAGCTCAGAAGAACCCTGCTGGGTCAGACCAGGGAGGGTCCCTCCAGTCCAGCCTCCCGTCTCACACAGGGGCCAGCCAGTCCCTCCGGAGTGCCAGCAACAGGGCAGAGAGGCAGAGGTCCTCGTAAGAACCTCAGAAGAGCCCTGCTGGATCAGACCAGTGAGGGTCCATCAGTCCAGTATCCCGTCTCACACGGGCCAGCCAGTCCCTCCGGAGTGCCAGCAACAGGGCAGAGAGGCAGAGGTCCTCGTAAGAACCTCAGAAGAGCCCTGCTGGGTCAGGCCAGGGAGGGTCCCTCCAGTCCAGCCTCCCGTCTCACACAGGGGCCAGCCAGTTCCTCTGGAGGTCCAACAACAGGGCAGAGAGGCCAAGGCCTTCCCCGGATAAGAGCATCAGAAGAGCCCTGCTGGATCAGACCAGTGAGGGTCCATCTAGTCCAGTCTCCTGTCTCACACAGGAGCCAGCCAGTTCCTCTGGAGGGCCAAGGAGGCTGAGGCCTTCCCCTGATGTTGACTCCTGGCTCTGGGATTCAGAGGACTCATGCCCCTGAATGTGGTGGTTCCTTCCCCTCAGTCACCATGGCTAGTAGCCACTGATAGACCTATCCTCCAATACACTGGATTCATGGTAGATTTTAACGCCCTGCGCCCTGATGGTTGAAGCCAGCTCCAGTTTTCCGGTGCAGTGACCCTTCTCTCGCTCTTTAGCGGCTAATCCAGCACTTTCCAGTGCTTGGTTGGACTGGGAAGTGTGAACATTCCTGATGGCGAACCACCCTGTCACAGGAAATTTCTGGTGGCACATTGAATCCCATGACTCCCTACTGTCTTGCGGGGGGTTCCCCCCCCCCCCCCCGAGATTCATGCAGTAGACCGGGGATCCTCTAAAGGAGCAGGCTCATAGCATTCGGGTGGACCAGCATTGGCTCTCCTTGCCTTTACGGTGCATGCCCTGGTAACATCTAAGTGAGGTCACCGCAGTGTGATTTTTGTGGGGCTGCCCTTGGAGACTGTCCGGAAGCTTCAATGGGTACAGAATGCTGTGGCCAGAGTGCCGACTGGCGTGAGTCCTAGAGACCATAGCTCTCCAGTCGTGCTCCCTCTGCACTGGCTCCCAGTTGACTCCTGGGCCCAATCCAAGGTGCTAGTATGGACCTCTATAGCCCTATATGGATTGGAGCCAGCATACCCAAAGGACCGCCTGCTCCCTGATGAACCCGCGCATTCACTCTGGTCCTCTCCGGAGGCCCCGTTTTGGGTGCCTCTGCCATCGGAGGCTAGACAGGTAACCCTCCAAGGCAGAGCCTTCTCAATCGTGGCACCAGGGCTATGGAACTCCCTTTCTATTGCTGCCTTCCGTGAAGACTTTTTTGGTTCTGTTTTTGTTTCAGTGAACCATCGAATCGCAGTGTTGGGAGGGGCCCTACAGGACATCTAGTCCCAACCCCCTGCTCAGTTCAGGATCAGCCTAGAGCATCCCTGACAAGGGTTTGTCCAGCCGCTGCGTCAAGGCTGCCAGGGAGGGGTTGTTTGCCACCTCCCTAGGCAGCTGAGTCCACTGTGGCACAACTCTCAACCAACGCTCCCTCTAAGCTGTGGTGTCTTGTGAGCAAAAGTTCTGCTTTGTGAGCTACCGGCATTAAAGTTGTGAGCCAGCAATTTGGCTGCTGCATAAATTAGCTTGCTCTGGAGCCCTCCTTCCTGAGCTAAGATAAAAAAGTGTCAGCTGGAGGCTAAAAAACTGTGAGTTAGCTCACACTAACTCAGCTTAGAGGGAACACTGCTCTCAACTGTAAAACAGTTTCTTCTTAATATCCAGCCAGTACCTTCCCGCCCTTCATTTATGATGGTGGGTCCTCTCCTCTGCTGCCAACGGGAACAGCTCCCTGCCCTCCTCTAAGTGACAGCCCTTCAAAGACTTCAAGAGAGCTATACTGTCCCCCCTCCACCTCCTCTTCACCAGACTGAACAAGTTCCTCAGCCTTTCCTCACAGGGCTTCTTGGTCTCCAGGCCCCCCCGATCATCCTCGTCGCTCTTCGCATACCCCAGTAATTGTTATTGGCCTCTTCCTTGGTTGCTGGTGTTAATGTGTGTTTCTGTGCTCTTATTGGAAATACACGCACGCCTTATTTTAAATGCTTTTAGTGTTGGAATATTTTTAATGTTTGATGCTTGCTGCCTTGGGGACGCTATTTGGTTAGAAAGGCAGCAGAGAAATGTTTTAAATAAATACATATCCGTTAGTAAAGGTAAAGGTTCCCTTGCTCGAAAGCCAATCGAGTCTGACTCTAGGGTTCCGGTGCTCATCTCCGTTTCCAAGCCGAAGAGCCAGCGCTGTCCGAAGACGTTTCCGTAGTCATGTGGCCGGCGTGACGAAACACCAAGGCGCACGGAACGCTGTTACCTTCCCACGGAAGTGGTACCTATTTATCTACTTGCAATTTCTTGCTTTCGAACTGCTAGGTTGGCAGGAAAATATCCGTTACAGTATACCAAAAATGGAGCTGTGGTTCTAAATCTAAAACTCTTTCAAAGAGAGCAGGGTCAGATTTCCATACTATATTGGGCACATAAGTAGTCAGCCACCGGCGATGCAGGACAATTGCCCGTAGGCAGCCAGGCAGCGGAAGTATTTGTCGGCTGGCAAGCATCTGCCGCTTCCGCTCACACTATCAACGTGCCACAGATGACTAGCGCGGGTGTATGTGGGTGGGTGGCGTGACAGAAATAGTTGTGGGCCAGAAACCTCGCATCGTCTGATTCTCAAGGTCTGCCTCCCCCCCAGGAAGCCTCCGCACGGGGGCTCGATTTTACGGGGGTGAAGGCAGGCCAGAGTAGGCCACGCGCGGCTTGTTCCTGTATTGCCCCTTCTTTTCACAGTTCCCTTTTCGTGGAATCCTGTCTATAAGAGGGTTCCTCAGTCATAAGTGTCAGGCTCTGTCTGTGGCCCGGGAGCTGACCTGCCCATGGCCGTGGCGTCTGGCTACCCACCAGGGCGGACGGTCCTGGGAGTTGGAGGGAGTCCGTTCAGGAGGAGTTTGCCGTGGGGCCTCAGATAGGCAGGGGACGGGGTTAACGTCACCCCTTAAGTCCCTCCGCCGGCGTGCGCAGGACGCCTCTCGTTCTCCCTCTCTCTCTCTTGCGTTCCGTTTCTCCCAGCTCAGTTCTGTTGCACGTTTCTCCTCCCCGGCCCCTCTGCCTCTCTCTCCTTTTATTCCCTCTTCCCCAATCCCAGCACCGCCTATGTTCCCTGCTCCCTCTACTCCCAGTCTGGCCCTGCCCCCGGTGATAACTCCGGACGCCGTCTGGGCGTTCCAGGCGTGGTCGCAAGTGTGCTGGCGGCGGTCCTGGCGGCCCAGGGGCTGCGCTGCTGGTGCCGCCACCTGGGATCCTCGCCGTGTCCACCCTCTGCGACGTCCGCACCACTGCACGCTGGGGCAAGGTTCCGCGGTGCAGGCACCAGGGGCTGTGCTCTGCCGACGCTATTGCAACCCTCTGGGTTGCCAAAGGTTGGCTCCCCCAGGGCTACCCGCGCTGAGGAGCCAGGCCGCAGCTCCACTGGTTGCCATGGCATCGTGGTTGCTCCGCTCCTCTGCTGGTTCCTGGGTGAGTCGGGCGGTTGGGGCGTCTCTGGGGGGGTGGGGTCACCAGGCAGTAAGCAGTTGAGATTTTCCACCTCGGTCTCGTTTGCCAAACTGTGGCGCAATGTCTTCCATCGGGGTGCGGGTAGCCGGGATCGGATGAGACCCAAGCTGGGCATCTAGAAAGGTTGTCATCCGCTGACTGCACAGAGCGGAATCTGATTCTTCCCCTCTCCCCGGATCCGGAACCACAAGTACCGCAGCCTGAACGACCTCGAGAAGGACGTCATGCTCCTGTGTCAGAACGCACAAACGTTCAACCTCGAGGGCTCCTTGGTAAGAGGCCTCCCCCACCACCTTGGCAGGACCAGTACTCTCGCTCAGGGCCGCTTGCCTTTCCTCCCGCAGACGTCCCTCCGTCCCTCCTCCGGGTTCTTCCGCCTGGCCACCTGCTCTGAATTTCCGAGGGCCGGGTGGCTTCAGCCCGGAAACCGAGATTCCCAGGGGGTTCAGCTGTCCCTCCTTCACTGGGCCTGGGCGGGGTCGTCAGGGCAGGCTCCGGCCTCGCATGGGACTCCTTGCAGTAGAGATTTCTTGGGGTCACCAGCAGTGTTCCCTCTAAGCTGAGTGAGTGTGAGCCAGCTCACAGTTTTTTAGCCTCTGGTTCACACACGGAGGGCTCCAGAGCAAACTAATTTAGGCAGCAGCCAAGTCGCTCACTCCCAACTTTAATATAAGTAGCTCACAAAGTAGAATTTTTGCTCACAGGGCTCCATAACTTAGGAGGAACATTGGTCACCAAGAATGTCCGAGAATTGTCTGGAGACCATGAAGTTCACCACTGTGCACGGTCCACAAGGGGAAACGCTAAATTTTTACGTAGTCCGTAGCAATGGCTCCCTGGAGGGCCTGGCACGATGTGGTCCATGGGGTCGCAAAGAGTTGGACTCCACTGTGTGACTGAGCAACAACAACAAAGCAATGTTCCCTCTAAGCCGTGGAGTCCTGTGAGCAAAAATCCTACTTTGTGAGCTCCTGGCATTAAAGTTATGAGCGAGCAATTTGGCTGCTGCATCAATTCGTTTGCTCTGGAGCCATCCCTTTCTGAGCGAAGACAAACACGTGTGAGCCGGAGGCTAAGACACTGTGAGCTAGCTCACACTAACTCAGCTTAGAGGGAACACTGGTCAGTAGTTTGTGCTTGTCCGGTGGTCTGCCACCAAGAGGCTATTTGAAATCGTCTGTTGTATTTGTCATTCATGCCGAATAGCTGGCCTATGGGTGTGATGTCTGCAATATTCCCATGTTGATGAGTTTTGAACGTTCCAAAGTACTTTCTGTATAAATACCACTAACAGAGACAGTGGGGTGTCGTGGATAAAGTGTCGGACTAGGGTCTGGGAGAAGACCCGGGTTCAAATCCCCCCTCTGCTCTGGAGGCTTGCCAGGTGACCTTGGGCCAGGCACACTCTCCTCTGGACATACGGCAGAGGGTCACTGGTGGAGGAGGGGGAGCTCTACATTTTCCCACCTTGTGGAGTGTGTTAGACTGCATGGCCCTCGTGATCCCTTCCCGCTCTCTGTTACCTCAGCCTGACCTGCCTCACAGGGCTGTTGTGGTGAGGACACACTGGAGGAGAGGGGAATGCCATAAGCCATTTGGGGTCCTCCTCGAGGAGAAAGGCCAGGTAGAAATGAGGTGGAATAAATCAATGTTATAATTAATCCTGGATGGGTATCTCCCTCGAGGAAGTCAGAGGCGCCCAAGCGGAGTGGGCGAAGCTGAGGGAAAACGCGTGCCTTCAGCCGTGGGGCTCTGCACCGGAGTGTGACTCAAGCCTCTTTCCGTTTGTGGTTCCCTGCAGATTTACGAGGACTCCATCGTGTTGCAATCCGTCTTCACCAGCGTGAGGCAGAAGATTGAGAAAGAGGAAGACAGCGAAGGGGAGGAGAGCGAAGAGGAGGAGGAAGGGGAAGAAGAAGGATCGGAATCGGAGTGTGAGTCACCCCGCCTTCTGCCTGCCTATCCCCTCCTCAGCTTTTCATGTGGAGCAAGTGTCTGTGTGTGTGTGTGGGGGGGGGTGCCCCAGCAAAATGAGTGCTGACCTTTGAGGAAAGGTCTGAAAGAAAGAACCAAGCTTGTGTTAGAGGCCTTGCGTCCTGCCTGGAATGGGGGCAGACCTCTAGGGCAGGTGGGGAAAGGAAAATCAAGAAAAGGGCATTCAGGGTGGAGAGGTGGAGCTTTATTTTGGTTCCTCAGAGTTGGGCAAGTAGATAAGAACCGAAGAGGAGCCAATGTTGGATCAGGCCAGTGGCCCCTCCAGTCCAACACTCTGTGTCACACAGGAGCCAGAAATACCAGGTGCCCTCAGGAGGTCTAGCAGTGGGGCCAGGACACTAGGAGCCCTCCCACTGTTGCCCCCCTTAGCACAAATAATACAGAGCATCCCTTGCCCCAGACCGAGAGTTCCCATCTATTCCTTCGGGCGCATAGCCAATGATGGACCTCTGCTCCATATGCTTATCCAATTCCCTCTTATAAGAACCTAAGAGAAGCCAGTGTTGGATCAGGCCAATGGCCCATCCAGTCCAGCACTCTGTGTCACACAGGAGCCAGAAATACCAGGTGCCCTCAGGAGGTCTAGCAGTGGGGCCAGGACACTAGGAGCCCTCCCACTGTTGCCCCCCTTAGCACAAATAATACAGAGCATCCCTTGCCCCAGACCGAGAGTTCCTACCTATGCCTTGGGGCTCATAGCCACTGAGGGACCGGTCTGCTCCAGATGTTCACCCAGTTCCCTCTTGAGGCCATCCCTGCTTGTGGCTGCCGCCCCCTCCCGGGGCCGTGATGCTGTATGGCAAGGGGGCCCTTGGATGATGCAGAGCAGGGGCCCCTCCCCAGTGTGGTGCCCAAGGGCACCATGGCAACTGCGAACACCTTTCCTGCTTGCCCACCCAGTGTTTTGGGGTTTGTTTATTTATTTATTTATTTACTTACTTACTTATTTTTGGGATTTATATCCCGCCCTACCCGTTGGGCGCCCGCCCAGTGGGAATCCTGATTGGCCGCTGGAGGAACTGATCTGCTGTGCAGATTCAAAGGGTGTTGTTTGGACAGCAGCTGCCACCCCAGTCGTGGTGTTACGACCGCTCACTTCTCTTTCCCAGTATGTTTCTAAAGAACCACTTCCCCTGTCCCCTGCACGCGTGCTCCCTCCGTGCCTCTCTCTTCACCTGCTGGGGTTGCGCCTGGCGTCAGAATCCGAAAGGTGCCCACAGGCTCCAGAAGGTTTGGGGACCAGTGTTCCCTCTAAGATGAGTGAGTGTGAGCTAGCTCACAGTTTTTTAGCTTCCAGCTCACACCTTTTTGTCCTAGCTCAGACAGGATGGCTCCAGAGCAAACTAACTTCTGCCACGGCCAAATTGCTTGCTCACAACTTTAATGCCGGTAGCTCACAAAGTAGAACTTTTGCTCACAAGACTCTACAGCAGGGGGATCGAACTCATTGGTTATGAGGGCCGGATCGGACATAAATGAGACCTTGTTGGGCTGGGCCATGTGTGTCATAAAATGTAATGCCAGGTAGCGGAGATATAGACTTTATAAAGGACACCAGCACAAAGAGGGGTTTTTTACTTAAAAGAAAAACGTGCTTCAAACATTAGCACTCTTGCAGTATTTTGTTTATTTAACAGTGTCGGATAACTGACACCTCTTGCTCTGAATTAATTGCATCAAAATGTCTGTGCTGTTGCAACCCTGAGGATGCTGTTCAGGTGTGTATCTGTAAGCTGCAATCCTACAATGATGCAGCAGCAACAGAACTGGGAGTAGAAGCAGAAGACAGCCAGTTCCACTGCGGGCCTGATAGAAGCCCTCTGGGGGCCTGATCTGGCCCCCGGGCCGCATATTTGGCACCCCTGCTCTACAGCTTAGAGGGAGCATTGTTGGGGACCCCGAGTGTAGAGCAAGCCTCTGGCAAACATCCACGAGGGTGGGAGGCGAAAGCTCCAATCCTGCTCCACCGGGCGTATCCGGGGGAGGAGAGAGAGGCCGCCTCCAGCCCAGACACTCACATCCCGTCTTCCCCTTTCTCCTCCAGCTCGTTCCGTGAAGGTGAAGATTAAACTGGGCCGGAAGGAGAAAGCACAGGACCGGATGAAAGGCCGGAGGCGCACCAGCCGCGGTTCCCGGGCCAAGCCTGTCGTCAGCGACGACGACAGCGAAGAGGAGCAAGAGGAGGTGACCGCCGGCTGCGTTTCATTCCCCGAACGGGTGGGGCAGGTTCCAGCCCGGGCCAAGGCCTGGAGAGTCTTGGGGACCCCGTTGGGAGCAGAGGAGGCCTGCTCAGAAGCGGAGGGAGGGGCCGCGGGGTGGGGCCCCTGGCATCCATCCATCTGCCGATCCCTGCAGCTGAGGAGACTGCAGACCGCCCCCCCCCTTCTCCGCACGGGCTGCCTCACAGGAAGACTGTGAGGATAAAACGGGAGGGGGGGGCGGATCCTGCATGCTGCCCTGAGCTCTTCCGGGAAAAGGCCGATTCAGATCCAGTGTTCCCTCTAAGCTGAGTCAGTGTGAGCTAGCTCACAGTTTTTTAGCCTCCGGCTCACACATTTTTGCCTTCGCTCGGGAAAGGAGGGCTCCAGAGGAAACTGATTTATGCAGGAGCCCAATCGCTTGCTCACAACTTTAATGCCAGGAGCTCACAAAGTAGAATTTTTGCTCACAAGACTCCACAGCTTAGAGGGAGCATTGTTTAGCACCTTGGAAACCAGCAAGTCTTTGGGGGGTGGGGATGAGCTTCTGAGCGTCAAAGTTCCCTTTGTCAGATGGGACTCGGAGCAGAGATCTCGGAGGTCTCTGTCTCCCGGTCCAAAGGTTGGGGAGGGCGTTGTAAAGACAGGCGCTGAAGGTGGTTCTGGACTGGATCCCAGGTCTCCGCCTGCAGACCAGCACGACTCTCCCCCTCTGAAGCCCTCTTCACGGAAGCCTCTTTTTCCTTCTCAGGATCGCTCAGGAAGCGGCACAGAAGACGACTAAGCGACATTCCCGGCGTGCAGGACCCCCACCCCGGCGTCTCGGTCCTGCGCTCCTTTTAGCGGCAACGGGTAGCCAGAAACGTAGTGTCAGATGTGGGTACAAACTGTATAAAAACCTCTTCCATATTTATACTGCAGTGAAGATGTAGGACGTTTGTGTCTTGCCTTGTCTTCACATCGGTAGCATTTGTAACAGCATTAACTGTTTAAAAAAAAAAAAAAGAATTATGAGTTGGGGAACACTTGATATATATATATATTTTTTTCTTTTTATGGCAGTCCTATTTTCAGTTGCAGTATTGAATCACTGTAGTTTTAACCTGTGGGTGCGCATGTGTGTAGCAGTCCACTCCTAGTACTGTATTTTATGGGACAGGCTGAACGGCCATCTGCCCCCAGGGGGGGGGGGGGCGAGGAGAAGAGGGCAGCGGCGGCGACTGTGTCCGTGTCACTGGATTTCAAACAGTAATAAATTAAGCAAAAAAGAAAAAAAGGAACCTGAAACCCAACAACTCTCTGTGGAGGCTCTCTTTCTTTCCGCTCTCATCTGGGCTGCTCTTTCTGTGACTGAAGGAGGGCTCAGGAGCCCGGCTTTACACACACACACACACACACACACACACCACGGCTGACTTCCTGTCATTCCCAGGGGTCTCGGCTAGTTCAGCTAGCCCCACGGCGGCAGGAAGAGATGATCTTCTAGGTCAGGGCTCCCCAACCTTTTTGAGCCTCGTGGGCAGAGTTGGAATTTTGATGCAGCGTCAAGGGCGCAACCACAAAAATGGCTGCCGCAGGAGGTGGAGTCAGCCACAAAAATGGCTGCCGCAGGAGGCGGAGTCAGCCTCAAAAATGGCTGCCGCAGTTTACCTTCAGTTACACAGTAAAGGTCCTTGTGCTGTGGTGGCGGTTGCTGCCAAGGCCCCACCCGGCCCTTCCCGCTTTCCAAAGACACCATCGTGCTGGCGGACTCCATTCCTGGTGACCCCCAGGTGTCTTTGCAGACCCCTGGAGTATTTGTGTGCTGTTCTGGAGGCCTTGCTTCAAGAAGGATGTGGACAGAACGGAGCGGGGGCGGAGGAGAGCGACGAGGCTGATCGGGGGCCTGGAGACCAAGAAGCCCTGCGAGGAAAGGCCGAGAGACTTCTTCGGAATGTTCCGTCTGGAGAAGGGGAGGTGGAGGGGGGACAGGATGGCTCCTTTTAAGTCTTTGAAGGGCTGTGTCACGGAGAGGAGGGCGGGGAGCTGTTCCTCTTGGCAGCAGAGGACAGGAGTCGCAATCATGGGTTTAAATTAAGGGCAGGAAGGTACCGGCTGGCTCTTAGCAAGCACTTTTTTGACAGAGTTGTGCCACAGTGGGAATCAGCTGCCTGGGGAGGTGGTGAGCTCAGTCTTTAAGCAGCGGCTGGACAAACACTTCTCGTCAGGGATGCTCTAGGCTGCTCCTGCATTGACCAGGGGGTTGGACTAGATGGCCTCATGTGGCCCTTTCTATGATTCTGTAAATGGCTGCCAGCAGGCAGCAGAGGTCTGGGCTCTCGATCTCCCTGAGGGCCACAAGGAGCCTCCGTTAGGTAGGAGGCTTGATCGCCGCCCAGCCTCACCCGCCTTTCCACTTGGTGACACCACTCCCTCTCCGCTCAGTTCCAAAGACGAGGGCCTGCAGGTCACTGGGAGAGAGGGAGACACACTCGCACTTTTGTAGTGCACACTCTCTTTGTGCTGGTTTGCCTTGATCATTTGCAAAGCCCTTTGCTTTTTAGCAAGACACATTGATAGTTGAATAGGTGCTGTGGAGTTGCCCCCCGGGGTGAACTTAGCAGGCACCCATTGTGTGCCTGGGACCAATGCTCCCTCTAAGCTGTGGAGTCCTTGTGAGCAAAAATTCTACTTGGTGAGCCACTGGCATTAAAGTTGTGAGCGAGCGATTTGGCTCCTGCATCAATGAGTTTGTTCTGGAGCCCTCCTTCCTGAGCCAAGGCAAAACTCTGTGAGCCGGAGGCTAAAAAACTGCGAGCTAGCTCACATTATCTCAGCTTAGAGGGAGCACTGCCTGGGGTCATAGGTATGGGTGCCTGGCGTTCAAAGGGGTGTTCCCCAAAAGCCCCCGTGTGGCCCCAGGGAGTAGATTACCGGCATCCTTCCTACCATTTATAGTTTCCATTGGGCCATGCAACAGATGGGGGACATGTTGCGGCCACACCAGAAAGAGCCTTTTGGGACGTCTCAGCAAAAGAAATGAATGAGGAAAGGCTGAAAGGTCTTCTGGGACTTTTCCATTTAGAAGAGAAACGACTAAGGGGGGACATGATAGAGGTTTCTAAAATTATGCCTGGGGTGGAGAGAGCTGACAAGGATAACTTTTTCTCCCTCAGAAAAGACTAGAACTCAAGGGCATCCAGTGAGGCTGATGGGCAGTAGTTTCAGGACAAAGGAAATACTACTTTATACCCAGTTATTAAAATGTGGAATTTGCTGCCAGAGGATATAGTGATGGCTACAGGAATATACAGCTTTAAAAGGGGATCAGATAGATTCATGGAGGACAAGTCTCTCAATGGCTACTAGCCATGGTGACTAAAGGGAACCTCCCTGTTCAGACGCACTCAGCCTCTGAATCCGAGCCAGGAGGCAATATCAGGGGAAGGCCTCGGCCTCTCTGCCCTGTTGCTGGCCCTCCAGAGGAACCGGTTGTCCGCTGTGTGAGAGAGGATGCTGGACTAGAGGGACTCTCACTGGCCTGACCCAGCAGGGCTCTTATGAACGCTGCAAGCAGATAGCGGACTTCATTTCTGCACTGTGATCTGGTCCAAGATAACCAGCAGGGGTGAAAAGGAGAGAAGGTATATAATGATGTTCTCTGGTGAAATGTGGCAGATGTTCTTGGGGTGCACAATCTTCCCCCACTTCACAGTGGATTTCCTAACCACGGTCGAGCTGGTAACACACACATAAAGGTGAAGGGGGCACTGGAAACCAAGCCTTCAGCCACCTGTGCCAATACACTTTTATAAAGTGTATAAAATCTGCTTTGGGTTGTTAGGTTTGAGAGCAAAAAGGTTTGAGACGTATAGGAAAAAAGATACACCCAGTTCCCCCACCCCCCCAGACAGACACACACACACACACACCCTGTGGCATGAGAGTTCTTTATGGAGTGGCTTTTTGAAGCACGATTAACTAACTTTGACCTAGAAGAGTTGCTGGATTCGGCTATGAACCGGTGCAGCGACCTGTGTTTCTGTTTAATCTGACCGACTCTTCTTCAGACCACATCTCTGATGTCCTGTTCAAAAGGAACCATGAGTCTGTGGAACAGCATTAGACGACACCAAGGCTCCCTCTGAGCTGTGGAGTCTTGTGAGCAAAGATTCTACTTTGTGAGCTCCCGGCATGAAAGTTGTGAGCGAGGGATTTGGCTCCTGCAGACATTAGTTTGCTCTGGAGCCCTTCTCCCTGAGCCGGAGGCTAAAAAAACGAGCTAGCTCACGCAAACGCAGCTCAGAGGGAACACCGGATGACACACACACACACATCCCTTTGAAGAGGTACGGACTGAGCATGCTTTACCAGCTCGTTGAATCGCTCGTCCTTGTCCCACAGCAGTGCCTTGGCGGTGGTACACACACACACACACACACCCGGAGTTCGGGGCAGTGATTACCCTCTGCAGAAACAGACCAAGACGTGGGCTCGATGTGCTGCGTGGGGGCTTTCCACTCGAGAGCCAGTTTGGTGTAGTGGTTAAGTGTGCGGACTCTAATCTGGGAGAACCGGGTTTGATTCCCCACTCCTCCGCTTGCACCTGCTGATGTGACCTTGGGTCAGTCACAAGCTCTGGCACAGCTATCCTTGAAAAAGAGCAGTTTGTGTCAGAGTTCTCTCAGCCCCACCCACCTCAGAGGGTGTCTGTTGTGGGGAGGGGAAGGGAAAGGAGTTTGTAAGCTGCTCTGAGACTCCAAGTGAAGGGCGGGATATAAATCCAATCCTCTTCTTCTTCTTCGAGCCCAAATCCTCTGCCTGCAGCAGGCGACAGGTCCCAAATGGGTCCCAACAGGCTTTTGCCCACTCAGGATCCTTTATGGAAAGGAGAGACCATTTGAGACCAAATGGGACGGAGAGAGTTTCTTATTTCGCGCCGCATGGCTTTGCAGTTAATCTTACCAGGTTAGCCTGATCTCATCAGATCTCGGAAGCTAAGCAGGGTCGGCCCTGGTGAGTCCTTGGATGGGAGACCGCCCGGGAAGCCCAGGGTGGCTACGCAGAGGCAGGCAAGGGCATGCCACCACTGTGTGTCTCTCGCCTTGATGTGGATGGCTTACGCTAGCCCGATCTCGGTGGATCTTGGAAGCTAAGCAAGGTCGGCCCCAACGCTCCCTCTAAGCCGTGGAGTCCTGTGAGCAAAAATTCTACTCTGTGAGCCACTGGCATTAAAGTCGCGAGCGAGCGATTTGGCTGCTGCAGAAATCAGTTTGCTCTGGAGCCCCATCCTTCCCAAGCTAAGACAAGAATGTGTGAGCCGGAGGCTGAAAAACTGTGAGCTGGCTCACACGAACTCGGCTTAGAGGGAACACTGCTTGGCCCTGTTTAGTATTTGAGTGGGAGGCCACCAAGGAAGTCGTGGATGGCCACGCAGAGGCAGGCGATGGCAGACGAACTCTTGCCTTGAAAACCCTTCCGGGTCGCTATAAATCAAGCTGCGATGTAACCGCACATTATGCGCACCCAGTCAGACCAGCAAGTCTGACGACAGTTCAGACTTCTCTTCCCGCAGGCTAGACTCCAGTCTCGTCTACTTTTTATAGGGCCTTTGCAGAGACCCTAAAGTTGGGGCAAGCTGTGATTGATGGCAGAGGAGTCATTCCCCAGGTGAGGCGCCCACGGGCACCATGACACCCACTAACATGTTTCCTGACGCCCTCTTGTTTCTCCCTCAAAGTAAAGACCTTTCCTCCCATCTTACCGGGGCAAGAGATTTTTGGTAGAAGATCCCAGGAGGCATCGCCTTTGTGCCTGCAGAAACAGCCGCCTCCCGTCGTAGGGGAGGTCTGGCTTGCAACCTGGCAGCGTTTGTGGGCTGGTCCAAGTCAGCCATGTCTATTGCCGTGCTCAGCCCTCGTTCTCAGGGTTCCAAAATAAAGGCCCACGGGTTCCACAAATGGGGGAGGGGGCAGCCCTGGCTCTCAGTTCGGGTTCTATATTCCATCAGCCTCATGTTATGGAACTTATTTAGGGCCAAACAAGACCGTTGCTTTTTAAAAAAAGATTGGATCCGCGTTACCTAACTTGGGTTCCCTGAAGCCACACAGCAGGCTGTGGGGGAATGGCTGTTACAAACCAACAGCGAGCCCAAAAGGGTTCAGAAGGATGGTTGGGGGGGGGGGGGGGGGGCACAGCTCCTGTCTTCCCTTCCAAGCCATTTCCCCACACCGAAATGGGTGTGTGTGTGTGTTACTTCCCTATTGAGAGCCAGTCTGGCGTCGTGGTTAAGTGCACAGACTCTAATCTGGGAGAACCGGGTTTGATTCCCCACTCCTCTACTTGCACCTGCTGGATGGCCTTGGGTCAGTCACAAGTTCTCTCTGAGCTGTTCTCTCAAGAGCAGTTCTCTCAAGAGCGCTCTCAGCCTCACCCACCTCACAGGGGGCGTCTGTTGTGGGGAGGGGAAGGGAGAGGAGTTTGTAAGCCGCTCTGAGACTCCTTCGGGTAGTGAAGGATGGGGTATAAATCCAATCTCTTCTTCTCTCTTCTTCTTCTCCTTTTTCCTTTAGTAGCCATTCCCCGTGGCTGTTCCGTGGCTGCTGGCTTCCCTGGACCCCACTCTTTAAAAAGGGAAGTGTCTAGTTTGCCAAAAAAACCACCCGGTCTTTCACTTCTACTTCTTTTCACATATTCCACAGCTTCATCCCACACATGTGCTGACCTCAAACGCGTCCACCCTCCCCTCCTAGATTGCTTCAGACACACCAGAGTCACAGGAGGGATGCGTCTATTTTTTTTCTTGTGTTTATTTTTTTTGGGGGGGGGGGGAGGTAATGAGCTTTTGAGAATCGGCGCTCCCTGGGTCCCACACACGAAGGAGGCTTGCTCATTCCCACGCATCCACATGGGCATTCTGTGCTAGTGTAGCTTTCTGTAAATTCTGTTAGATTAGCAAACCATGGGAAGAATAAACCAGGGCTTTTTTACTGGGGGAACTTCCTTTCCCTCTTGAGAGTTCCGGCACCTCTTTTTTAAAAAAAAAAACCAAACCACCACCCTGGAATAAAGAGAAGAAGAGATTGGACTGATACCCCACCCTTCACTATCCGAAGGAGTCTCAGTGGAGCGGCTTACAAACTCCTTTCCTTTCCCTCTCCCCACAACAGACACCCTGTGAGGTGGGCGGGGCTGAGAGAGCTCTGACAGAAACTGCTCTTTTTCAAGGACAGCTCTTGTCAGAACTACGGCTTGCCCAAGGTCATCCAGCAGCTGCGAGTGGAGGAGTGGGGAATCAAAGCCGGTTCTCCCAGATTGGAGTTCGTGCACTTCACCACTACACCAAACTGGCTCTCACCTGCTGCCAGAGAGCTCAATTAAGCTGTGCATCTGTCCAGCTTCAAGTGCCACAAACGCTACCTCTGTGTTGCACAGAATTAGAACCCAGTTGTGAGTGCCTTCTCAGCCGGAGACCAATGCAAACGTGAATACAAATGTTTACTCTTTCTCACACCACCACTGATTCCCAGCAATAAAGACAGCAGGGGGCCGTGGCTCAGAGGTAGCCCATCCGCCTGGCACGCAGGAGGTCCCAGGTCCCACCTCTGGCGTCTCCCGTTAAAGGGGTCAGGGGGTGCTGAAGACCTCTCTGCCCGAGACCCTGGAGAGCCGCTGCCCGTCAGGGAAGACAGCCGATGGCCGGACGCGGCAGAAGGCAGCTCCACAGGTGTCCGGAAGCCAGTGGAGTTCACTCCTGTACAGGTGTCATTGAGGGACGGCCAAAACATCCCCACCATGAGAACCATCAGCACGTCATCCACAGTTAATTCACTTATCCCAGTCCGGCATTAAAAGGGGAGGGGAGGCAGTGTTTGTCCAGTGGTGGAAGAGAGAAGCAGCGCCCCGTTTTCATTTCCTCGGTGTCTAGAGGGGGGGGCAACAAAGCAGAGGAGGGGTCCGCCCGAGGAGGCCGGCCCGCAATCCGCTACCCGTCCTGCGGGGCCTCCCCTGCCCCTTTGCAGTCTGCGTACTTCTGCACCAAGGAGTGGAAGGCCTTCCAGACCGCGGGGTCCCTGACGCACAGGGTGCCTCCCCCCCGCCACTCCTCCGCGTGGTTGCGGTTCATGTCTCCGACGCAGGCCCAGCCGGGATCGCTCTCGGTCGCCACGCACCACTTGGAGTGGTCCACCATGGTGGAGAAGGCGGGTCCCGGCTCCTGGAAGGCCACGGCCTCCACGTTGTAGACACGGAAGGGCCCCGAGCAGTTGGAGGGCAGGATCCCGTGGGACCTCTGCCAGAACTCGACGTAGAGATCGCTCGCGAGGGCCTGGGCCAGCCAGCCGGAGTACAGATCTGGAGGAGGAAGAAGGACATGGGGGGACTTCAATCAGCAGAAATGCAAAGAGCCAGTGAGCAATGCTCCCTCTAAGCTGTGTGAGTCTTGTGAGCAGAAAGAGACTTTGTGGGCTGCTGGCATGAAAGTTGCGAGCGAGTGATTTGCCTACTGCATAAATTAGTTGGCTCTGGAGCCACATCCTTCTTGAGTGAAGACAAAAATGCGTGAGCTGGAGGCTAACAAACTGTGAGCTGGCTCACACTAACTCAGCTTAGAGGGAACACTGCTGGTGAGATGTGGGGGGGGGGGGCGGACTATCCAGCCTTTTCAGCCACACCACCTCACTTACCATCCCCAAAGCGACCAAACTTGGCAAAGCTGACAAACTCCTTCCCCTCCAACGACGTCAAAGTGACACTGGAGTTCCAGGGCTCCTGCTGGACGTGGCACCCCTTGGAAGCGTTCAGCAAGGCGGGCAGGTCTTGGGCAAAGGTCCCTTCCACCCGGTAGTCGTACACCAGAGGGTCTGTGAAGAGCAGCTGTCTCCCTGGGGCAGAAGGCAACATGACATGGGACACCCGGTCTTATTTCATGGAATGTATTTTCACAGAATCATAGAGTTGGAAGGGACCGCCAGGGTCATCTAGTCCAACCCCCTGCACAAGGCAGGACATTCATAAGAACCTAAGAGAAGCCAGTGTTGGATCAGGCCAGTGGCCCATCCAGTCCAACACTCTGTGTCACACAGTGGCCAAAAATACCAGGGGCCATCAGGAGGTCCAGCAGTGGGCCCAGACGAGTGCCTCAAAGTTGACTTTCTCCCAGGGATACAAAGATCCCTTCCCACACACACACACACCCAGTGACCGCTGTTCCACACTCAGAAGATGACAAAAAACCTCCAGGATCTCCAGCCAAACTGGCCTGGAGAACAATTCCTTCTTGACCCCAGTGGTGGGGCGTGTAAGAAAGGGCCAGGAGAACTAAGCACTGAGGCAACCCTTCCTGCCCTCCCTCTCGTGATCTGCCTCAGTTCACAGAATCGAAAAAACAAGAAGGTCACAGCCAAAGCCAAAGAAGCCTAACAAGAAAAGACACAACGGAAGCTGCATCACAAATGCTTATAATACTAGAAACATGCAACAATGAATTATAAACCATCCAATTTATCAAAAGAAGTCCATATTTAGATTTAGATTTGGATGACGAAATCCTCCGGAGTAAGCTTCCGTTTTGTAGAAAAAACTTCTTCCGAACATCAAAAGGTCAATTTGTGTCATTCCTTATTCAGTAGATGGCAAATTTCACAATTAAACTCTAGAAAATCCTAATCCATCATGGAAAGATTCTGCAGTTTCTACTAAATTCTCACAATAGTGGGCAAGTAAGTCCCTAAAGGCTTTAGATGTTAAAATAGAGGACAGGCTCTTCAGCTTTAAGAAGTTACACATCTCTACCTAGTTACCATTACCATTAGCTTGCTCCAGCTCTTGAGGCAAGAACATGGCCAATGGCCACCTTGCCTGTGGAGAGATCTGTGTGCGCTCCTGGATACAGCACCCAAGAAAAAGAGCGCCCCTTCCTTTCACAAGGAGGTTTTCCCATATCTGTTTCTCCACCCCCTGACCAGCCAGGCCAGGTCAAGGAAGTGTTTCCTGCAGCTTCGTCCTGGAGCCTTGCTAGCCTAAAGTCCTCCAAACCTCTGTTCCCTGCTAGGAGGAAGGGGAAGATCTGGACCCCTCAATCTCTCTCCTGCTGGTTCTACTCGCATTTGAATGAAGGTGAGCATTCTGGAAAGCAGTTGCACAGACGTCCCTCTTCCCATGTCTGTTCTCTGCCCAGAGGGGGGGGGACTGTTAAAAACCCCAAAGGTGAGGTTTCGTTCCTTTCAAACCTCCCAGGAAGAAATGCATTTCTTCACACCCACAGTGAACGTTGTGCCCCCATGAAGATCCCACACGGTCCACCTACCGATCTCTTTGAACTGACTGTAGGGGAAAGTCACACACAGGAAGCTCTGCCCATTGAGCAGGGCGCTTCGAGGCCAGCTATAGTTCGTCTGGAGGTCCGGGAAGTGCGGAGTGCTGTGGAGCATCCAGAAACCCTGAGTAGTATCCAGAAGGATGACTCCTTAAGGGGGGGGGGGGGGGGAAGAGGATCACAGTGGCAGAAAGCGACTCAAAACACCTGCCTGGTGGGACAGAGAGCTAACAGAAGAGACCCCCGGCCCCCGGCCCAAACTCCTTCCGCCCCAAGACGGACTCTCCACTCACCCATTGGTCTCCACTCCCTTACTGAGAAGGGAAAACAAAGTTGGAGTCCACACACTTCTTAAGATACATTGAAATGGAAGTTACCAAGTCCATACATATAGGCTTGGTATAGTGGTTAAGTGTGCGGACTCCAGTCTGGGAGAACCGGGTTTGATGCCCCACTCCCCCACATGCAGACCAGTGTTCCCTCTAAGCTGAGTTAGTGTGAGCTAGCTCACAGTTTTCTAGCCTCCGGCTCACAGGTTTTTGTCTTCGCTCAGGAAGGAGGGCTCCAGAGCAAAACTAATTTCTGCAGTAGCCAAATTGCTCCCTCACAACTTTAATGCCAGGAGCTCACAAAGTGGAATTTTGGCTCACAAGACTCCACAGCTTAGAGGGGGCACTGATCCAGACACATTGGATATTTGTTACCAGAACAATTTGGAGAGCATGTGCAGTTACCACGAGAGATTATCCAGGTTTTAAAAGTTCATAAAAGCCTCTTGATATTATAGTATTAAGGAGTTTGGTGTGGTGGTGAAGTGCTCGGACTCTATTCCGGGAGAACCGGGTTTGATTCCCCACACCTCCACTTGCTCCTGGCTGGATAGCCTTTGGCAAGCCGTAGTTCTGACAAGAGCTGTTCTCGAAAAAGAGCAGTTTCTGTCAGAGCTCTCTCAGCCCCACCGACCTCCCAGGGTGTCTGTTGTGGGGAGGGGAAGGGAAAGGAATTTGTAAGCCGCTCTGAGACTCCTTTGGGTAGCGAAGGGCGGGGTGTAAATCCAATCTCTCCTCTTCTTCTCCTTCCATCAAAGGTAGTAATTGGTGAACAAGGAGTATGGTATTGGGAGGCCAGGCAGCTGGTCTCTCCACAGTGAGCACATTGACCAATACTCCCCATGCGGCACAGCAGCGGTCCTCAAAGCAAGGCAGATGGGACGGTAGGTGGCCCCTAACCTGCAGCGTCGGGCAGAGCTGCGGGACTCCATCAGGGGTCCTCGGGACAGGAGCCTTACCTTTGGTGTGCCCTTTGCTGGAAGACAACTCTCCCGGGGGCTCATCGTTGTAGAGGACGTAGGCCGTTTCCTCCTGGTGGGCGACAGAACAGAGGGCCCATGAGAGGATCGGTCTAGGCCAGCCCCGATCCTGCCTCAACCACCCCCGGCACAGCACCTGTCCCATTTCTGTTACACGGGTCATTTCCTGCAGGAGCGCACAGGAGCGGAGCTCCGGCAGTAAAGAGCCCAGGGGGTGGGCACATGCAACAAGCCCCGCCCCCTGCTCCCAGCAGCCCTCAGTCAGAGCAAGAAGCAGCCAGGTAAGTTGCAGAGCTCCCCCTGGATCCAAAACAGTCCAGTGGCACATTTAAGACCAAGTTTTATTCAGGTACAAGCTCTTGGGTGCAAATCTCCACTTCCCCCCCCCCCCAATAGCTAGCAATCCAAAACAGTCCCGTGGAGCCAGAGCGGTGGGTGCTGCCTTCTGACACACTTCCGGTGATGTCAAGGGGCGTGGCATATGCAAATAAGTCGTGCTAATGAGTTATGCTAATGAGCTCCTGCACCTCTTTTTCTACGAAATGACCGCTGCTGTTACGCTTCCTTCCCCACAGCTTTCTCTGCCTCAATTATTCCCACATTTCTTCTCCAAGATGGGGGTCTCCCACTTAAGAGTCTGCCGCCCAAAGGGTTACATGGGAAACTGGTGTGGGAATACCAAGGAGGCAGAGGAGCGCAAATATGTTTCAGCACTTTCGGCAACTTTGACTGAGTGATCCTTTGACGTAACTTCTTGGATTGTGCTGTGAGATTTCTCAGGAATCACAAAATATCCTGGCCAGCCTTTGTTGTTCTCATCCCCCACAATTCCATGCACCCAGGAATGTGGAGGGGGAATACTGTCACATCCCCAATAGACATATCCCTGAATCATAACCACAAAAATCAGGGGAAGGCCTTGGCCTCTCTGCCCTGTTGCTGGCCCTGCAGAGAGACTGGCTGGCCCCTGTGTGAGACGGGAGGCTGGACTAGAGGGACCCTCCCTGGTCTGACCCAGCAGGGCTCTTCTGGTGTCCTTCTCAGGGGAAGGCCTCGGCCTCTCCGCCCTGTTGCTGGCCCTGCAGAGAGACTGGCTGGCCCCTGTGTGAGACGGGAGGCTGGACTAGAGGGACCCTCCCTGGTCTGACCCAGCAGGGCTCTTCTGGTGTCCTTCTCAGGGGAAGGCCTCGGCCTCTCCGCCCTGTTGCTGGCCCTGCAGAGAGACTGGCTGGCCCCTGTGTGAGACGGGAGGCTGGACTAGAGGGACCCTCCCTGGTCTGACCCAGCAGGGCTCTTCTGGTGTCCTTCTCAGGGGAAGGCCTCGGCCTCTCCGCCCTGTTGCTGGCCCTGCAGAGAGACTGGCTGGCCCCTGTGTGAGACGGGAGGCTGGACTAGAGGGACCCTCCCTGGTCTGACCCAGCAGGGCTCTTCTGGTGTCCTTCTCAGGGGAAGGCCTCGGCCTCTCCGCCCTGTTGCTGGCCCTGCAGAGAGACTGGCTGGCCCCTGTGTGAGACGGGAGGCTGGACTGGAGGGACCACTTGCCTGAGCCCCAGCTCTCTTCTACTGTTCTTATGTTCTTAACACGGATGCCAAAGGAGAGAGAACCCTGATCCTCGCAGTGCAGGTCTGGTTTGATCCTTCGTTCTCACCTCAGTCGGTGCCTGCAAAGCGCTTCTCCCTTTCCCCTGGTTGATCCTTTCCCCCGACTCACCTGCCTCCGTGTGGCTTCCACGTACAGCTGTTGCAGAGTCCGGCCCACGGCTCCCTCGGTTCTGTCCATGAGACTCCTGCCTTCCACCCAGCCCTGCGTGTGCTGATCTTGGTACATGTAGCGCTTGCCTTCTGCCGGGGTGTGGTGATGGGATTTGGGCAGTTTGTAGACAATAAACCTGTTGCAGAGGAAAAAGAACTGTGAGCAGGCAAGAGACCCAGGCCTATTGGAAGACACTAACCCAGGGGTTCCCCAACACGGTGCCCGTGGGCACTTTCTCCAGCCCTTGCCAAGTGGGCGGAGCGAGGTGGGCCTATTGCCCAGCAAAGCTTCCGATTGGCCACTGGTGATCTGATTGGCTGTACAGAGTTTTTTAAAATGTTCCTGCCACCAGAGGAACACAAGGATCTTCAGGGTGTGACCGAACATAAACTGCGGCAGCCATTTTGTTACTAGGCCTGCCTCCTGTGGTAGATATTTGTGGCTGCACCCATCCCCCTGTCTCATAAGAACCTCAGAAGAGCCCTGCTGGGTCAGATGAGTGAGGGTCGCTCCAGTCCAGCCTCCCGTCTCACACAGGGGCCAGCCAGTCCCTCTGGAGGGCCAGCAACAGGGCAGGGAGGCCGAGGCCTTCCCCTGAGAAGGACACCAGAAGAGCCCTGCTGGGTCAGATGAGTGAGGGTCCCTCCAGTCCAGCCTCCCGTCTCACACAGGGGCCAGCCAGTCCCTCTGGAGGGCCAGCAACAGGGCAGAGAGGCCGAGGCCTTCCCCTGAGAAGGACACCAGAAGAGCCCTGCTGGGTCAGACCAGGGAGGGTCCCTCCAGTCCAGCCTCCCGTCTCACACAGGGGCCAGCCAGTCCCTCCGGAGGGCCAAGAACAGGGCAGAGGGGCCGAGGCCTTCCCCTGATATAAGAACCTCAGAAGAGCCCTGCTGGGTCAGACCAGGGACGGTCTGATCCAGCAGGTGCAAGTGGAGGAGTGGGGAATCAAACCCAGTTCTCCCAGATTAGAGTCCACGCTCCTAACCACTACACCAAACTGGTTCTCTCGGTGTGGCTCAGTGCAGCCAGCTGAACTCCCCTGTGCCTGGCCCCTCTATAAGCAGGGCCCACAAAGCCCTGTTCGGCAGGCAGACCCTCTCCCCACATCCCCGGTCTCCTTGGCAGCCTATCCCAAGGACATAATCCAGGCACTACCAGGCCATTTAAATGCCCCTGGATTCCAGGGGAGAGTAAATCCTGTGCACGAGGGCAGAACGAGGACCCCCGTTTTCCTCATTCGTCCCATTTCTGGGTGAAGCGTAGAAGTGGGGGGTCTCCCCCTCCCCAGGCAAAGACAGCTAAACCCTCCGCCGCCTCCATTCCAGCAGGCATTTGTGAAGCAGCTGACTTCCACGAGGCAAAGTAGGGAAGGGTCTTGTGTCAAAAGAAAGCTCCCCCTTCCCGTTATCAGAAAGGAGCAGGCGAGACTGAATACCTCCAACGGCCGCCGTCAGGCATGCCTGTCATTCACACAGACTGGCTGACCTGCATTTCCAAACCCGGGGGGGGGGCGTGGATCCAGTCTCTGGCCGGCGTGGCTGGCAGGAGGTTCCCCTTCCTGTCTTGGGGGGTATCCAGAGAATGTTGGGCCCGATCTAGGCACGGCCCATGGGGCTCCCCTATTTCCCCCCCAGAGAAATTAAAAATCTCACTTTTCCAGCCCAAAGGAGAACCTGCAGAGCGGCCGTGGTTTGGGGGGGGGCTCATTCGAGCCCCGCCCACCGCCAAGACGGAAAGCTAACTGTTCCCAACAGGAACAAAGTTCGAGTCCAGTGGGGCACCTTTGAGACCAATAAAGACCAATTCAAGGTAGAATCATAGAATGTTCATAGAATGTTAAGAGTCGGAAGGTACCTTGCAGGTCATCTAGTCCAACCCCCTGAATTCTGCAGGAGCACAGCCGAAAGAGAGCCCCTACAACATACGCGAAAGATGGTCGTCCAGCCTCCACTTGGAAACGTCCAGTGAAGGAGCCTCCACCACCTTCCAAGCCAGACTGTTCCACTGCTCAACCACTCTGACAGTCAGGAAGTTTCTCCTGATATTTAGCCGGTAACGACTCCCTTCTAATTCCCACCCGTTCGATTTGTCTTGCATCCTGAGCAAAAGAGAATAGATCTGCTCCGTCTTCTATATAACAGCCCTTCAGATACTTGAAGACTGCAATCGTGTCCCCTCTAAGCCTTCTCTTTCCCAGGCTAAACAGACCCAACTCTTTCAGCCTTTCCTCCTAAGACTTGGATTCCAGCCCTCTCGCCGTCCTGGTTGCCCTCCTCTGGAGGTATATGCATTCGTGTACATGCACACTTCTTCAGATACAGAGATCTAGAAAAGCATGTGCACACACAAAATATTATACCGTGAATAAAACTTTGTGGGTCTTAAATGTGCCACTGGATTCAAATTTTCTTCTGCTGTTTCAGGCCAACACGGCGACCCCACCTGAACCAGTCTCCAATCAGAAGGCTGAAGAAGTAGTGAATGCCCTTTTGCTACGTGTTTCTAAAAGGTCACAGAAAGAAGCAAAAGGCTAGAAGGCAGACAAGGAATCTGCCTGCACTGTACAAAGTGTGGCACCTGCAGTGTGCACTCTGTAGAGAGCACACAGCTGAAAGACAGAGGACCTAGATGGGAAGCTGGGTTAGTTTGTAGCAGTGAAAAAGAGCCAGGGTCCAGGAGCACCTTCCAGACTAACAGAAGTGAGCCGTGACCGACAACAGCTCCCCCCCTGCCACCAATTTTGTGAATCTAAGGTACTCTTCGACGCTTGCTTTTTTTCTTCTGCTACAGACAGACTAACACAGCTATCCCCCTTTTGATCTATCTGAAGAAGTGAGCCGTGACTCACGAAAGCTCCTCCCCTGCCACAAATTGTGTGAATCTTTAAGGTGCCACTGGACTCTCGCTCTTCTCTCCTGCCGCACACGGCCACCCATCTTGACCTATCTGAAGAAGTGAGATGTGACTCAGGAAAGCTCGCCCCCTGCCACAAATGTTGCTCCCCTTTAAGGAGGTTATACATTATTTGTAGAGGTTTCAAACGAAAGGTTTTTAGTCGCTCACTCGTCTAGTTTTTACTGAAGAAGTGAGCGGTGAGTCATGAAAGCTCCTCCCCTGCCACAAATGTTGTTCCCCTTTACGGAGGCTATACATTATTTGCAGGGCTTTCAGACTATGCAGCTGCTCACTCATCTGGATTTTATTCAGTGCAATCAACAAAGGTGCACGTGCGAACACACATGAAACGGCCTTATACTGAATCCACCAAGGTCGGACTTGTCTACTCAGACTGGCAGCTGCTCTCCAAGGTCTCAGGCAGAGGAAGGTCCTTCCCATCACTTTCTGCCTGGTCCTTTTTTGCTGGAGATGCCAGGGATTGAACCTGGGACCTCCTGCATGCCAAGCAGAGGCTCTGCCACTGAGCCACAGCCCCTCTTTACAGCTCTCCAGGGTCTCAGGCGAGGGTCTTTCCCATCACCTCCTGCCTGGCCCTTTTTAGCTGGAGATGCTGGGGGGTGGGGATTGAACCGGGGACCTTCTGCATTCTTCCACTGAGCCACAGCCCATCCCCAAAAGGAAGCAAGCAGTGAGAAATAACCCTGCCTCAAGAGGACACCAAGCCATGAATCGCTCTTGACCTGGTTTTGACCATAAGGTGACCAAGGCCTCCTCACCTGTTTGTTTCACTCTACCACAGCGCCCTCTGCAGGCAGGTTCAGGTGTACAGCTGTGTTGGTCTGAAGCAGCCGAACAAAGTCTGAGTTTGACTCCAACTTTGTTCTCCCTCTGCAAAGTTACTCCAGCAGTGGGGATTGTGAGCCTCCTTGTGACCCACACTGGCTTTCTCTGCTGCCCATCCTTGGCCCAGCGGACCCCTGCCCTCCTGTCGAGGGGCCTGTCTGTCTGTCTGGGGGCAGAACGAGGCATCGGGGAGGCTGTGGGTCGCCCTGGGTCAAATTCTCCCTCAGGGATCAGACCCAAAGAATGGCTGCTGGAGATCAGTTACCCGCATGGGACCCCCCCGAAGGTACAATCAGTGTTCCCTCTAGGCTGAGTCAAGTGTGAGCCGACTCACAGTTTTTTAGCCTCTGGCTGACATATTCTTTGTCTCAGCTCAGGAAGGAGGGCTCCAGAGCGGACTAATTCATGCAGTAGGCAAATCGCTCGCTCACCACTTTAATGCCAGTTGCTCGCAAAGTGGAATTTTTGCTCACAGGACTCCACAGCTTAGAGGGAGCACTGGCCCCCACCCCTACCCAACCAGTGTTCCCTCTAAGCTGAGTCAGTGTGAGCTAGCTCACAGTCTTTTAGCCTCCAGCTCACACATCCTTTGTCTCAGCTCAGGCAGGATGGGGCTCCAGAGCAAACTAATTGATGCAGCAGCCAAGTCCCCGGCTCACAACTTTAATGCCAGGAGCTCCCAAAGCAGAACTTTTGCTCGCAGGACTCCGCAGCTTAGAGGGAGCCTTGATGTCGGTCTCAAGGGCTCCCGCTGAATCTCAGCATGTTTGTAGCAAGCAGGTTTTGCGTCCTCCCTCTTGCAAGAAGAAAGCAGCAGAGGGCCGGGGGGCAGAGGAAGGGGGTGGGGGGGAGACGCACCAGTCCACGGGCTGCCCGGCGTCGTCGTAGCAGGAGATGCCCCCCCGGGCAGGGCGGCAGGCCAGGGCCACGGCCAGGAGCAGGAGGCGCAGCATGGCGGGTGTGTGTGTCAAGCAATGGCAGGATCCCTGCAAGGAGAAAAGCAGCAGCTGCGGGTCGCGGGCCAGGCCACGCTAGGCAGGCGCCCGCTCTTCGCCTCCCTCCCCCGCCGACCGCCTCCAGGCCAGCCGCTCCCCAACCCAGGCGAGAGGGCAGGCTGCCACCCGGCACACGCCCCCCGCCTCCCTGCGCCGTGCCTCTGAGCATACGCAGAGCGCTCCTCCTCCACCCCCGAGCCACCCAACCGGCCCGGCCACTTTTGGGGGTTCCTCCTCCTCCTCCCCCGCGAAATGGGGAAGTGGGAAGGAGAGGGGGAGCGCGCCGAGGTGGAGCCGCGCCGCGCCCCGCGGGGTCCCCAAGCAGGCGCCCCCGGGCCCGAGAGGAGGAGGAGGCGGCGAGCGGCGCTGCCCTACGCGCCTTACCGGGCTCTGGGAGCGACTTCCAGCAGGGGCGGACTGGCTCCCGCAGCGCAGCCGGGCGAGGGCAGGAGGTGGGAGTCACGTGCCCGGCGGGGCGGGGCGGGGCGGGGCCGGCTGCTGGGTCGGGGCTGGGCTGGGCTTCCCCGGGCTCGGCTGCGTCGGGGGGGGAGGAGCCGCCGTCTGGGCTGCCGCTGGGCCTGGCCGGGAAGCCCGAGCCGGACTGTGCGTGTCGGGCCCTGTCCACACGTTACCCCCGGTGCACGCGTCTCCTCCTGCGCGCGGACACGCCCGCCCCTCTGCGTTCCAGGGGGCAGGAGCGGGATGCATGGGCGGCTCAGCCGCGCACGGGCTGCGGGAGACGGGGCCGGTCCTGCAGTCGCTTGCCCCTCCGTTGGTTTGCGAACCGCACAGCTCCCCCCTGCTGCAGGGCATGCGGCTTCCGCGTCCTTCGGTGTCGGATTCTATGGTATCCTCCGCGCTCCAGGCTGCTTTCGCTTCCTTGGATCCTCGGGTTTTATGGTACCTTCTGCATAGATTTATGGCCGTTCAGTCAGTACGGCCTTGCCCCTGGCAGTGTTCCCTCTAAGCTGAGTTTGGGTGAGCTAGCTCACAGTTTTTTAGCCTCCGGCTCATAGAAAAGGAAGAAGAGATTGGATTTCTACCCTGCCCTTCACTACCCAAAGGTGTCTCTGAGCGGCTTAGACTCCTTTCCCCTCCCCACCACAGACACCCTGTGAGGCAGGCGGGGCTGAGAGAGCTCTGACAGAAATCGCTCTTTTTCAAGGACAGCTCTTGTCAGAACTACGGTTTGCCCAAGGTCATCCAGCAGCTGCAAGTGGAGGAGTGGGGAATCAAACCCGCCTCTCCCAGATTAGAGTCCGTGCACTTAACTGCTACACCAAACTGGCTCACACATTTTTGTCTCAGCTCAGGGAGGAGGGCTCCAGAGCAAACTAGTTTCAGCAGCATCCAAATGGCTCGCTCACAACTTTAATGCCAGCAGCTCTCAAAGTAGAATTTTTGCTCACAGGACTCCACAGCTTAGAGGGAGCATCGGTCTGAATGTGGTTTTGAGCTGCACTTTTTCCTCCCAGTCAAGAAAATGCCAGGTGCAGAATCGCCCAGTGACTCGAGGGTGCAGGTATTGGGAAGACGATGCAGGTGTTGTCCCTCCAAGATTTGGGAATGGGCCTGGTGGGAAAACAAGTTGGAGGACTGGCCCAGCTGTGTGGGCCCCAGGGGGACCAAGCCCCGCCTGCAGCACAAGGGCCTCTCCCCGATTCGTTACCCAGTTAACACGGGGGTGGCCACCTCCAGGTTCGGAAACACCTGGAGATTTTTGGGTTGTTGAGCCTGAGGAGGACAGGTTGGTTGGGGGGGGGACTTCAGTGCCACAGAATCTAGTTTCCAAAGCAGCCACTTTCTTCTAGTGAACGGATCTGCCCCGCCTGGAAATCCATTGTAATAGCAGGAGGTCTCCAGCCACCGCCTGGAGGTTTGCAGCCCTAGTGGACGCACTTGACCACATGAAGTGGCATTCTGCTGAATCAGACCCCCCTCGGTCCACCAAGGTCAGTCTTGTCTACTCGGACTGGGAGTGGCTCTCCAGGGTCTCAGGCGGAGGTCTTTCCCATCACCTCCTGCCTGGGCCTTTTTAACTGGAGATGCCGGGGTTTGAACCTGGGACCTCCTGCATGCCAAGCAGAGGCTCTGCCACTGAGCCACAGGCCCTCTTGACAGCTCTCCAGGGTCTCAGGCGGAGGTCTTTCCCATCACCTCCTGCCTGGGCCTTTTTAACTGGAGATGCCGGGGTTTGAACCTGGGACCTCCTGCATGCCAAGCAGAGGCTCTGCCACTGAGCCACAGGCCCTCTTGACAGCTCTCCAGGGTCTCAGGCGGAGGTCTTTCCCATCACCTCCTGCCTGGGCCTTTTTAACTGGAGATGCCGGGGTTTGAACCTGGGACCTCCTGCATGCCAAGCAGAGGCTCTGCCACTGAGCCACAGGCCCTCTTGACAGCTCTCCAGGGTCTCAGGCGGAGGTCTTTCCCATCACCTCCTGCCTGGGCCTTTTTAACTGGAGATGCCGGGGTTTGAACCTGGGACCTCCTGCATGCCAAGCAGAGGCTCTGCCACTGAGCCACAGGCCCTCTTGACAGCTCTCCAGGGTCTCAGGCGGAGGTCTTTCCCATCACCTCCTGCCTGGGCCTTTTTAACTGGAGATGCCGGGGTTTGAACCTGGGACCTCCTGCATGCCAAGCAGAGGCTCTGCCACTGAGCCACAGGCCCTCTTGACAGCTCTCCAGGGTCTCAGGCGGAGGTCTTTCCCATCACCTCCTGCCTGGGCCTTTTTAACTGGAGATGCCGGGGTTTGAACCTGGGACCTCCTGCATGCCAAGCAGAGGCTCTGCCACTGAGCCACAGGCCCTCTTGACAGCTCTCCAGGGTCTCAGGCGGAGGTCTTTCCCATCACCTCCTGCCTGGGCCTTTTTAACTGGAGATGCCGGGGTTTGAACCTGGGACCTCCTGCATGCCAAGCAGAGGCTCTGCCACTGAGCCACAGGCCCTCTTGACAGCTCTCCAGGGTCTCAGGCGGAGGTCTTTCCCATCACCTCCTGCCTGGGCCTTTTTAACTGGAGATGCCGGGGTTTGAACCTGGGACCTCCTGCATGCCAAGCAGAGGCTCTGCCACTGAGCCACAGGCCCTCTTGACAGCTCTCCAGGGTCTCAGGCGGAGGTCTTTCCCATCACCTCCTGCCTGGGCCTTTTTAACTGGAGATGCCGGGGATTGAACCTGGGACCTTCAGCAGGCCAAGCAGTTACTCTTCCACTGAGCCACAGGCCCTCTTGACAGCTCTCCAGGGTCTCAGGCGGAGGTCTCTCCCATCACCTCCTGCCTGGGCCTTTTTAACTGGAGATGCCGGGGATTGAACCTGGGACCTTCCGCATGCCAAGCAGATGTTCTGTCACTGAGCCATGGCCCCTCCTCCAGGAGCCGCACAGTGAGGCGGGCACAGACGCTTCACAGGGGCTAAGCTGGTTCCCAGCCATTAGCAATACAGAATTAATTAATCAATCAATTAAATTGCCTCTGTCCCTAGACCTGCACCCCTGCTGGATCTGGCTCTGGTAGCCACATGGGCACAGGAGTGGGTGAGTATACCTTGCTTAGGGTGAAAAGATAGCTTGAACCAGCCTTGCTTCACAGGCCCCGTGGAGGAGGAAACTCCGATCCTGGACTGTCAAGCCAAAGTTTGCAATCTGGCAGTCTTGAGCCCTTTTTTGTTGTGGAGGTATAAAGGGAAAGGTAGGAGTGAAAGGGCTGGGAGATTTCACTTAAAAAAATGAAATCTGGGAATTAGTACGTCTTGGCAATAGTGTGTTGTAACATAATGATCTTCTTCGTGGTCTCTGTGCTT